AGATGACAATTCTATGATTTTCATAACTGAACAGTCTGTAGACTGCGTGTTATTTGGCCATTTCGACCTCATTTTGTAAATTTTTAGTAAATTTTGAAGGTTTATAATAATTTTATTTTTAAAAGTTAATCAGTAATCGAAAAAGAAGTAGCGTAGAAACTATATAATTCGGTAAATCTTAGTCGATAAAAGGAAAGAACAAACAAAGCCGTTAAAGTACAGTAACTGACACATTCTAGAGTGATCTGATGGCAACAGAGAAACAGTGTATTCACACAGTGGTGAAAAAACCTTTGTGAATAGAATTCGGAGATTTCTGTCTGTATAATACATTTACTCTAAGTACAGAATCAAAATGTGGCAGTAAAAGAATGCTTAAGTTGTTTCTCATTTGTTTGTACCCTGTGAATCGAATTAAACCATATCGATATTCTCATTTCATGTTACTGTGTAGTGCTTCACTTCATAGATGGTAACCCCTCAGATGATCTTGTTGCAATACAGAGCAAAAACGAGGATTTTTCGTTCATTATTACCAACAACACATTTGACTGACATCCCGCATTTAAATTGCTTCATGTCGTTTGAAGTTTTCTTCATCTGCAGTGGTGCTGTGATTATCACTAATTCCATAGCATGGTTTAACAAACATTATTGCGGCATGTACCAAGAAGGCTGAAATGAAATGGCGATTGATTAGACATACACTAGGTCGTTAAGAGGAATCCAAGTGAGGAGTGCACCTTTGAGTAGTTGAGAAGAAAATCATATGTAGAGGGAATTAAAGAAGTCTTTGGGCAGTCATGGAGACGGTTGAAAGTGATGGCAGATAACCAAGTGCAAAACGACTGTGTTGTTGAGGTCCTATGTTCCACTCGGAATGCAACGAGTGGCTAACAATATATTGTAAAAACAAATGAATACTCCTTATACACTTCAGAGAGATTTTGAATTGAACTTGATTTTGATTTCAATGATACAGACTGTAGTTAGATAGTAATTTAATATTCCCTTAGAGTCTAGGGAATATTTCTTGTTGCAGTGGTATACAGTTCTCCAAAATTACTACTACACTGCCTCGTCATCCAACACTGAGTTCAAACCTTCATTGTCTAAGTTGACTGGTTGAGCATCCTCTCTTGTCGTCAACACCTTCCTCCTTCAAACTGATAAGGCTGTAACCAACTTTCACTTCACTTCTGTGAGTTTGTTCGAAAAGGTTCACTGCTTTTTAAGTCGTTGTTTTCATGTATGATCAGACATCCAAACGCATAGGTCACATACCGACTAACATACCAACCAGTTCAGCTCATGAAACATTCGCCAGAAAATAGAGAAACACGGTTTCCGTAAGCTGAAGCTGACTTCCATGAACATAGGACAACCTATCCACATGCCACGTTCCTGTCAGTTATGCGTGCTCTTCCACAGAAATTACACAAATGTGTCACCTCATACACGTGTAACAAAACTAAAACTTTGTGGTGATTGACAATTTCTATTACTGTATTGTTTAAATACTTACTGTTGTTTGTTAATATATTTATTATATGAATTACAAATTATTCTGCCAAATACAAATTCCTAAATTCATCCCTCTCTGTGTTGTTGGTTGATCTACCTGAATTCGGTCATTGCGAAATACTACTATTACAAATAATTATAACATTTTGGCGTCGCTATAGAATTAGATAATCTTGTAAAGTTTCCTATGAACGGTTCACCGCAGGAAATCGCCGATTATCTTGAATGCTTTGACGCATGGTGCATGTCGAAGAATGTTCGTGATGACAAAATTTCAGCTCATTTTATTACTACTATTGGGCTAAATGCGTACAGCCTAGTGAAAGCTCTGTCGTTTCCAGATAAACCAATTTTTCTGCCATATGACAAACTTCATGGACTTCTAACAGATCACTTCCACATAAGCAGTTTTGAAACACGAGAGAGTGCTCAGTTCAACAAACTTCTTCATGCTCCTAACCAGAAGATTAAAGACTTTATTCTTCAGCTTCAGAGACAACCTTCAAAGTGCAACTTTGGAGATCAGCTCCATACTCAACTACGTGATCGTCTAATTTCTGGGATCAATATTCCGAAGTTAGAGAAAGAGTTGATTCAGATTCCTTCATGTACCTTTCAAACTGCCAAAGAATTATGTATTACAAATGAATACCCAGCTCCCACTACGTCAGTGTCTGATGTCATGCTGTCCAAAGTTGATAATACAGGTGTTCATAAAAATAAATCCAAACTGTCATCCACATGTAATAGAATGCAGACAGAAAGCAAAAACATCAAACCGTGTTTATCATGTGGAAAGATTCATCTACGAAGCACTTGCCGTTTTCGGAGTGCCAAATGCCATAAATGTGGTAACATTGGGCACATAAAGTCTGTTTGCAGAAGTTCAAATATTTATGCTACTCAGAATTCTCATGATTCTCCCAATTTGTCTGGTTAAAATGCAGTCAATGTCTCCTCCAACTTTTCAATGCACTGAATCTCATCTGATGAGAACCTTCACTACAAGTTCAGGCAAGTCTCACTTTTTTATAATTCATACTGGGAGTACTGAATCTATAATTTCTTAGAAAGATTCACTATCGCTTTGTAAGCATGCTCAGGTAGACCCTCCTGCTAGTTCCATTACAGGTATTACTGGTCATAAACTACCTCTTATTGGTACTAACATTGGTTTGAAGTCAGACAGTGGTAGTTTTGTGAATATCCCCTTTCTTCTTAGTGAATACGGTCCATCTTTGTCGGGATTAAGAGCCCTTAGATTGTTGAATGTCGAAATCTCACTTTGCACTGAGTTGTTTGAGGAATCTTTGCTCAGAGAATTAGTTCTCCAATGTTCAAAGTGTGTAGGTGGCATGAAGATTCAGCTCATCCATCTTGAAATAGAGGGTGATCCTGTCTTCCTAAAGTGCTAATTGATTCCATATGGTTTACGAGATGCAGTTAAGAAAGAGTTAGACAAGTTGGTTGAGCAGAGCATACTTATGCCAGTTGAATCTTCGAATCAGGCTACTCCCATTGTCACGTCACTAGAGGCTGATGGGAAAACACCGAGAATTTGTGGTGACTACCGTCTTACACTCAGTAGTCGCCTACTACAGCAAAGCTGCACTACGCTAGAAACTGAAGACATTCTCTGCAAGCTACATGGCTCAAAATACTTTTCCAAAATAGATCTCAAAGATGCTTACTTGCAGATTCCTCTTGAAGAAGCTTCTAGTGCACTAACAACCATTTGGATTGTTCAAGTGTAAGTTCTTGCCTTTGGTTCAAAGGTTTCACCTGCAATATTTCAAAAAGTAATAAATCAGATGATAGATGGATTAGATGGTGTTGAGTCTTACCAAGACGACATTATAGTTCATGGACAGAACATCGAACTGCATAATGAACGTCTTTTAAAACTGTTCAGCCGTTTCTGTGGAAAAAATATTCTTGGTAATCCGTCTAAATGTCATTTCACTTTGTCGTCTGTATCATGTTTAGGGTACACAGTGGACTCCGAGGGTTTCAGACCTGATGCTAGTCGTTTGACACCTCTAATTCAAGCACCTTTACCTAATTATATGTCGTCATTAAGATCATGTTCAATTTTACTCCAGATTCATTCCCAATTTCACTCAACTGTTATCTCCGCTTTTTGATATTGTCTCCAGTAAACAATTTCAGTGTGAACAACAACATATTTCATATGAACAATATAATTTCATTTTATCTAATGAACACTAAACACCATGGTGATAATGAGCAATTTTTCACCGTATTTTGAAAAAAATTGAGAAAATAGCTGATGATTAGCTTAACGCTAAAGTATGCGCATTTTTTTATTATTTATTTTATCCCTTTGTGTTCCCAGTGGAACAAAGGGCTTCAAGATAGAGCTTTGAAATTTCAGTAGCAGTGGTGTTTATTTTTACGAGGTGGGACTTCTAGTCTCACGCCCAACCTTCCCTCTTAGCGACCCTTATTACCAGCTTAGCGAGGTTCGCGAGTGTCATGTCGGCAGAGGATCGAATCCCGGACCACTTGCGTGGTTGTCCATTATTCTATCAGTAAGTCACCGACACTCGCTAAATTATACTAGGACCAGTATTATACAATTCATTCCCTCCCCCTTTTCTACTATTAACTTGAAGAAACATACCTCCTACGAATGATTTTATTTATTTTTTTATTTTTGATTACAGCTTGATGCCACACCGTATTTTCAGTACAAGTATGGCATTTTCAGCAAGGATATCGGTAGCCCAAATTTTGCAGGCCGACCATAGATATCGGGTGTGCATCGGTAGGGGATCGAACCCCGGCCCATGTGCATGGTCGGCGAGAATCCTAACCACTGTGCCACTTGACGAAACATACCTACTATGAAAGATACTTTAAAAGAATTCGTTCTAATTTGCTCACATTCATAATTTAATATAATTATTTTATGCATCTTATCATAAGAACCGTTTCTTTAGCTCCTTTTGTATAAAATAAACTTTTAAACCCTCTGTCAGTATTTTGCCTATTTTCTCTCATACAGTCTGAACGTCATCCTTCTCCAATAACACGTATTCCTACCGCTGACCTTACACTACACCATTTTTCACAATACATAACCGAAAAGACTAGGTTATGACCGTTTTCCAAGCATTTCGATTACAAGTGACTCACAAGAGTAAGCGTTTTTCTTTCTAACAAACTCAAATTCATTCAATATCGAACAGGGTATCTGTTAGTTAACACAAACAGAAAAGCAATTGCGCCTCAAATATTTAATCAGGAGAAACACATGAATTAAAGCTTTTGAATTGTTACAGCGTTCATGGGGAAATATCACTAGTGAATTATGTAGAAATAAAGACTCATAGAACTCAAATGAAAAATTAATGAAGAGATATTATGGGCATCAAGGGTGTTAATAGAAAATCTTCATTTTATGTAGTTCGATTAGGAATCAGGGGCGATTTTCTCCACACTGAGTAACATTTCTAGACCTCTTGTGCTGTATGAGGAACGTTTTCTTTCAACCATTGTACAATTGTGTGAAGGTGGGTGTCAAGCCACTTCAAATTTCGCTTTGAGGTAGTTAGCAAATTGTACAATCCACGTTTAAGTGGATGATTTTGTGGTAACTGAAGCCAATCAGCCTCTGTACTCAGTATCTGTAAAGGAAATGAGATGTGTAATGTTTATGTTTACAGTTATGAAAAGCATATTTTTAGGAGTTGATCACGGATTGATACCAGTTAGAGAACCATTGAAAAACAGCATTGGAGTACTGGACAGCTGCTGTTTCATCCTAGTCTGGGAATCATTGGCAGTACGCACCCACTGGGATTCGAACCCGGGACCACCCGGTTACAAGACAAGCCCGTATACCATTCAGCCAGTGGGACCCGATTCAATGGCCAGTCCATGAATTCTAACTTCTACCAATTCGTGATTTAGCGCGACCCCAACCATTGTCGTTGGTGGGACATCCATCCACACACGTGACATCTAATTGGACCTCACTGGTCACGACTACTCACTAGAACTTCAGGAAACTCCATCCTGTAACAAGTCACTAGCGAGCTAAATCATGAATTGGTAGAAGTTAGAATCCATGAGCCAGAAAATCGGGTCCCACTGGCTGAATGGTAAACGGACTTGTCTTGTAACCGGGAAGTCTCGGGTTCGAATCCTAGTGGATGCGTTGATTATTGATAATAAGTGGATCACTTTTCCAACACAACTCATTGAAGACATTCATACGTATTATCATTACAAACAGGTGAATTGAAGTTACCTTGTCATTTTGTCGCTCGAACAAACATTTGCATTAAATCACTTCTCACTTCATTTTATTTGTACACTCTTCAGTGTCGGTTGAGCAGATTAACGTAAATTCGCTTAAATTTATACTTTGATTTCCAATATTAAAATACTTAACCATAATTGCAATTGACTGGTGTGAAACAGTTAGTTTTCAAACAACTTAAAATTAGTGTGACTAATCAAAATATACGAGTTTTAGGGAGGTACTATGTAGTTGCGATTTTCAACTGTAAATGTCTTAAACAAACTCCACATGGTGTTACCAAAACAGCATGATTGTATCCCGCAGTGAAAAGTTCAAAATCTAGCAACAGTTCATGTTGAACAGCTCCTATATTAGTGGACCTACATTATTTGGACCACAAAGAAGTAGCGTCACTTACTGTGATGTCAATTAATTTGTGTTTCTCTGTTTCATGCCATTTATGTAGCTGGTTAAAAGATGAATCATTTCTGCACAGATCCTCACTCCATCAGTTTCAGAACCGCTGAAACACCAATAGGGACAGCTGTTCCGTACAAGTTCGAGACTCTATAGGAATGCTCACCCACATTTGTACGCACTTACTGGGGTTCGAACCCAGGACCTTCAAATCACAGAGCGACTTTATAACCCAATCAGTTACTGGAGCCCGACCCGACGACCAGTCCATGAATTCCAACTTTCACCAATTCCTGCAGTATATATATATATATGTATATATATTGCAATCGTCAGTCAATGTTATATGCGAGTTACTGTACTGTACTCTTACCTGGATTTCACTGGTCACGAGTACTACCCCTTATGAACACATATTTGTACATATCAACACATTCATACTAAATTTTATTTTCTAACACATGTACACTGTATTTTACAATCAATATGTTGAAAAACAGTGAAAATTATCGAGTGTTAAAATCTGACTCACCTTTTCCCCATCATTTTTGTTATTCAAGCTGTAATATGGATTAGAAAGACTCTGTATCACTTCTTTGGTGAATTCATCACTGAAAAAGAAAAGCGTGTGAAAGTCAACATTATAAAAGGGAAATTAAAAGCGATAAAGTTAATTATGCTAACACAGTGTAAGCGATTTAACTTTCTTATAGGTTACACATTAATTACTAGCGGTATTATTACTATTTTCTCTTTTGGTTCCCAGAGAAAAATTGAGCTTCAGCCTCACGTCTCCATTGTGTTCGGTCCTCTGACAACGTTTTCACCTGGCTCCACGTCTGCCAACATTATTTCATCTCCTCTTCACATCACCTCCTCCACTCCATGTCACCCTCACACTGATGACCAACTCTCCGCTTCCCATTCGCATTTCACTCGAACGACGACCTGGCGTATGAGGTCACTTGATGGTTTTCTGAGAGTATGGCCAATCCACCTCCATTTCTTCCTGCATATTTGCTGAACAGTTGGTCCCTGGTTGGTTCATTCATTGGCAGAGATCTCTTCCTGTTGCTGATCATTTCTGGCCATCTGATCTTGAGTATTCAGCAAAGATAGCTGTTGACGAAAGTCTGTAGTTTGTTTGAAGTGCTCTTCATGATGCGCCAAGTCTCTCATCCATAAAGTAGCACCGACTTCACTTCGGAGTTGAAAATCCTGATCTTATTTTTCATGCTGAGTCCTGTTGACCTCCACAAAGACTTGTCTTCCTTTCCCGAACCTCGTTTTGATATCCTCATCAGTTCCGTCCGCCTGTAGTTGAAACGGTGCTTCGCAGATAGATAAAGGAGGTTCCTTCTTTCAGATTCTTCCCATTTATGCTGATTACTGCCTGTTGTTGTTGCTGTTGCTCTCGGTCAGGAAACTTCGTCACCTCTGTCTTCTCTTTGTTCATTTGAAGTTATATCCTTGATGCTTCTTCTTCAAACTTGTTGCTTTTCATTTGCATATCTTCTATTTTATGTGAAATCAGACACATATTGTCGGTGAAATTCAGATCCACCAAGTATTTTGTGACGGTTCATTTTATGCTTGTTTTCTCGTTGACGGCTGTCGTTCGCATTATCTAGTCTACCGCAATCAGGAAAATCACTGGATATTTTAGGCAGCCAGCCGGCTTTGTCTTACTTCCCTATTCACTTAGAAGGATTCCGTGAGTTTCCCAATGATTATCAGTAGCAATAAACAGATTTCAAATATGGCTACCGACCGCGATTGCAGATTTCATTTAAACAACAATTTCATGTTCATGATATTTCAAAGTTTCAATTTATCTACTGCGTTACATTCCTAGAAAAGAAGGACAGTGATTATTCATCCTTGTGGATAATCAGCATAAACATAAATCCATCTGAAAAATCTGAAAATATCCTTTCCAGCCAAGAAGAGGGAAGCCGTTAGCACATTGTAAATCTAGACTGGCACATATCCAGACATAGTACAGTCATCACTGTATGATTTTCAAAGTAATTTGCAGAAAAGCGACGTTGTTCAAGGAAGAATCTCATACAACAAACACCCTCACAATGTTTTAAAGTGAGAGGAATTTCTGATAATCAAAGTGAACAGTTGGTATGAATTCTTAATGCAATGAAAATCAATCATGATAGAACTCACATCTCAGTTGGAGAACGTGTTGAATTTTCCATGCTGTAAAAGAAATAAACGGAACATTTGTTAGAACTAATTCGATTTAATCAAATTTCATACAGGTTTTGATCACTAGGTCGAATATTTTACATTTAATTAAACTAGAGGTCAATTACTGAAACATTTCCGAGGTATTAGCAGCTACAGGTGAATATATTACGTTTAGTAATTATAAGTTAATTAGTTCCAGTCATCTGTAACTGAGGTTTTCCTTAAATGCCAGTCACTACTCAGATATACCTTCACTATTTGCTTAGAGGGATGCTGTGAAAGTGTGCAGAAAGGAGTGGGCTACATTTCCCTTTATTATGCTTTCAATGTCTATGTTCAAAATGTGTACATCTAGCCATTTTGTTGGAGTGTTTTAACTCAGGTATAAACTCGTCAGAGTATTCCTTATTTCTAAATACATTTGTATAGAACCAAAACTCTGATGTCAGGAATACTTTTGTATGAAAACTCATAAAATCGTAAAGTCTCATTAACCCGATGATAGATAGTTCAAATGGAATATTTTCTGTGTAGTCATATTGAGGTTACTGGCTTCACTAACATACACTGAAATATTATCGTGAACGATGTACTGAACGTCGCAGAAACTGTAAGTGTGAGATATAAATGACAATAGTCAGATGGTAAATATGTGGTCTGCTGTAGCTTGACGCCAAGAGTGCTATTACCAACCAGTGCTTCATGACTTAGAAATTCCCCATACGATGAGTAATGCTGTTTCTAGCTTTATGTTACTGACTCTGGTCTTTGTAATTTTCCATCTAACTTCCTGCAATTAGCATGCAAAAACTATCAGTTACAAGTTGCAAAGAATGGACATTGAAAATATTCCATATTACACTATTCTTCAAAAGTTCGTTTGTTGGGATTCACATTCTTCCAAAGTGGACCACAGAATCATGTCAATTAGAGAACAATTGAAAACCTTGGTCGATTGACCTAAATGGTTGCCTTGTAACCAGAAGGCGAGATCTAGTGAAGAGCACAGAAGTAAACACGAAACAGTTGCCTGGAACTCCGTGACTGTCAATGGTACTCTAACTAACTGACATCAGTCCATGATCAAACTTGAAGCATTATTCTATATTCTATCAAATCTTCTGAACAATCTCCTCAATAAAAGTCAACTAAAGACAGTTTATATCCTCCAGAACCACAGAGGATAACAGTCCTATGGACGTTTTCAAGTCATGTTTTTGTTTATATTAGCATAAAACTTGGGCACTGTGGTACAGTATAACTCCATTATAGATAAGATTTCATTTTGATAATATTAACTGATGACGTTTCGAGCCCAAACTAGTACTCATAAGGATATCAAGTCACTCACACAACTTTCTGGCTTCATTTATATACATGAGTAAATACTGACGATAAGACATTTGAATAAAATCAACATAAGATAATGTACATTCAGAAATAGTATTAGTGTTATCAGTCGAATACAGTCATATGGGATATAAGACGAGTGTTTTTATATTCAAAATAATAAGTAACTTGTTAGAATGTTATGATGTACGTGAATTGAAATATAATTTTAAGATTATTTATTATCCTCCTCTGATTTGACTGGTGGTAATAATATCTTCCATATCTCTGGTATTTGCGTTGACTCACTTCTATTGCGTGTGTTGGGTGCAGCAGACTCGATGAACTCGATGAATCACACTCTCTCTCTCTCTCCACCTACCTATATTACCTTTTAGAATTTTTACTCTGTCCCACTCTATTGTGTAGTTTTGTGTTAATGAATGTACTGCTATTGTTGAGCTTTTCTCTCAATTACTTATCTTCGCGGGTAGGATCAATCATTCTAACCTTAGCTAAATTCTTATGTTCTGACAGGCAATCTCACCACTCCTGATCTAATAGTTTGACTGATCTATGTAGCTGACTTCACTCACAGTCATTGTAAGGTATTTTGTAAATTATATTATTTTGTTTAATTGGGACAACCGACAGGGTCCTTTAGCCTTCCTACAGAGCTTGTCCTACCTGAGTGAGTTTGTAGGTTTGAATACCAACCTAATTCCTGCTTTATTGAGAATCCTATGTAGGGAGGGTCTCAGATGTCCCTACCTTATGTGGTAGAACTGTAGATGCCCTGTATTCTTTGTTATTTATGTTATCATTATTAGTTTCACCATTATTTTTATTTTGCTTTTGACCTTTTGTAATCTTCCTAATGAATTTTAAGGGATAGTTAGTTATTTCACACCAACGCCACTTCTATCTGTTACATTTCACCGTTTAGGTTTTTAGTTGTACTACTTAGTGCTATTGCTCAGTTTGTTTGTCAGTGACACGAACCTGATGAGAATTTTCTTTTATTGTTGTAGCGAGGTATATTCAGAAAATGGGCAGACACTGTGCATGACAGTTGTCTGCAAATGCACAGAATATAACAACATCGACTAACAGTGACAGTCTGTATTATACCCATACACATGTGCTCTGTGTGAGTGATACCAAATATGGGCATTACACATTTCAGAGGAACCATTTGAAAATAGGTTGAATGAATTACACTCATATTAATCTATGTGTAATTCCATATTAGTTTGTTTATTAGATATATCACACAGTGAAACAGTATTATTTACTGGATGACGAGGTTTCGAACAACGTTAACTGTTCATAATCATTTCACCAGTTATAATCACGCGATTTCGAAAATTGAATTTTATAGTTTTCTTTGTCCTCTCCTATTTGTCGTCGTAGGAGTAGTAGAATTTTCTAGATGTCCAGCTGGACAGGTGTTGAATCATTCCCATTACACGTGTTTGCAGTCGATTCGATAAATAAAACCACAGTCAGTTATCGATTTCTCCCTCCACCCAGCTGTTACATTAGATTTTAAAACTGTCATCCTATCCCATCCATCCTATTGTATGGTTGTGTGTGTGTAATTGCATGTAGTGAGTGCTATAGCTGAATTATTATCTAAATTTCCTTTCTTATTTATTTTTTATTTATTTATTTTGAATCACCGAAAATACCCATTGAGTCATGAAGAAAATAAAAGACAATTCGTCAGCGAGAAAAATTTTCTTTATCTACAAAATCATCTTCAGAGGCTGTACAGTCTTATTTATACTTACAAAAATATATAGTGGTGTATGATTGATTAATATGGGGTGACATAATTGATGTAATTACTCAGAAGTGGCTTTAGAAGTGAAAATTAAAAGTTGTAAATTACGTGGTACTCAACGGAACAAAGATAGAAATTTGATAAGGTTAAAATTACTATTGAGTCAGAATAAAGGTATTTATTTATTTTATTCCTCAACGTTACCAATGGAACATAGGTCTTCAAGCTAGAGACATGAAGTTTCCGTAGCAGTGGTGGCACAGTGGTTAGGACTCTCGCCGACCATACACATGATCCGGGGTTCGATCCCCTGCCGACGCACACCTGATATCTATGGTCGGCCTGCAAAATTTGGTCTACAGATATCACATGCTGAAATTCCATACCTGTACCAACAAATACGGTGTGGAATCAATCTGTAATCAAAAATAAAATAAATTATTTTTACGGGATGCGGTTGGTAGCCTCATGACCACCCTTCCCTATTTACCAGTCTCATTACTGGCTTAGCGAGGTGAAGGAGTGCATCGGCCGGGTATCGAACCCCTAACCACATGCATGTTCGGTGAACATTCTACAGCTGTGCCACCAACGCAAAGTTGGAACATTCTAGTCAATTATATTACGTCATTTAACTTGCTAACTGAATCTTACTTTAGTTGCTATCTAATTAACAGTGTTTCTATATTAGACCATTACTGTATTACCTAATTAATTATCTAAACTTAACAAACCTCATGTACACACACACACAAAATAATTGTATATAAATGCGAATGTAGAGCTATATGAATGTATTCGCCGAAAGGACTCCTCGCTGAACATCTTCACTTTTTATATGTCACTAAAATTTCACTAAACCTTATCTTATTAGTGTGAACTAATCTAGATCTCGCTGCTAGGTTCTTGTGCTCGGCTAATCTGACTGACCCCCTCCTACTACTTTGACCTATGTATTCGACCTGACAATCATTGCAGGCAGGGTATTAGATAAACTAAATTGTTTTGTTTTAAAGGCTCCACAGGATTGATCCTTTAGCCGACAAAGCTTCTTTCTAATTGAGTTTGTGGGTTTGAATGCCATTTTTATTCCTGCCTTGTTAACAATTCTGCGTAAGGTTTCCCAGGCTCCTTCTTTGTAAAAAAGTAATGCTGATGATTTAAATCCCCTATTACTGGTGTTATCACCGATCTGTGCATTTTGCCATGCATGTCTTCATTAATATTATTATTATCACCATCATTACTGCTATTACCAATTAATTTTATTTTTAGATTTTCCTAAGTACTTCCTGATTAATTTATCAGTAATTTTCAAAGCTTCTCTTATATGCCACCTTTCTTGTCTTAGATTTTCCTTGGTGCTAGTTAGATTTTGTGCTCTATTACTTAAACATTTCACCAATCCTATTTCCACTGACATAGGATGGGATGATCGGAAATCCAAATATCTGTTTGTTTGTGTGGGTTTCCTGTAAACATTAGTGTGTGTTTAAATTCCATCTTCTTTCCTTTTTACACTGCAATCTAACACTGGAAGCTACCTTTCCTGACTTTCCAATTCATAAGTGAATTGAATTGTCTTCACCTTCGAGTTGATGTGTTCCAAAAATCCATCAATATCCTGTGTTCTAAGTACAGTGAATGTGTCATCTACATACCTCAACCATACTTTTAGGGTGGAGCTGAACGTTCCAATCCCTGAGTTGCCCCACCTATCCATGAATATATCTGCCACAACCAAGAATATTGGTGACTCCATGGCAACTCAGTGAAGCCAGTATTTAAAATGCATTTGGAAAGGTGTGAGAAATGCAAATAGACTACATTAATTTCCTTTAGCCAGCTGCAAAACACTGCAGAGGACAGACTGGATTGGAGATGTGATGCTGACGCACCATTTTACACTCAGAACCGAAGGGAAGAATAATAATAAGTAATAATAATATTAATAATAAGTTTCGACACTTGATTTTTTCATGGGATCAATTATTGAAAATGATCATCGAAAATACCCTCCTGTCAATGTCCACTCCCTAAAGTTCCACACTACATTATTCATTTCAAATTTCGTTCATTCTAAATTTCTTAAATTGGGCAGTGAGTTCAACTCACAAACTCACCAGTTACATTCTCGTAACTCATTTTCTCAACTCCACTAATATCATTTTACGTTGAATCACCCAATCAAACTCAACAATGGTCGGCCAAAATGTCATAAAAAATATGAATAAAAGTGTAAGAATCAACAGGGAAAATGCAAATGTCATAAGTGAATGACAGATCGTCTGTTCTACTAAATGTCATGGATAAATATTTAAGTAAATTCAAAATGCATCTTAAGCAGAACTTACCCAGTTTTCGAAGATTTGACCACTTCATGCACACAGTCCCACAAAATTTTATTACCAATTGGAGAGACTGCGAATTCAGGAATCGCAGACCAGTATTGTTTGTCCTGTTTAATCCATTCAAAGTATCTGGGATGTGAACAAAAGGAGGAGACAGTGACGTCATCATCATCAGAATGTGACAGTTAATGTAAAGGAATTCATTTTGCTCTTTTAATACCTACAAACCTGATACCTGAATATCACATTTGTGTTATACTGTCAACTGAAACGACGAGTTTCATAGTTGTCGTGATATTTAAGGAAGACAGGAATTTGAGGAAGAAGGCGAAAAGTGGCAGAAAACAGGAACAAAACTAAGTGAGTATACTGCTCCGTCAAGTCAAGAGGTTCTATTGCGTCTAGCAGCAGTAGTCTGGTTACTCCATGTCTCAATATAGATTCTTTCTTATTAACCAAAGTTCTCGGTGTATTGTGCATTCTATATTGAAAACATTTCGTCCAAAGCCAAGTTATTTCCTCTGAAGTTGGATTCTCTGGGACTTTAAACCTTAAATTTTTGGTTATTTTTATTATCGAAACCCCGAGCCCCTAACATTCCTGACAACTTACTCGGTGGCCATCATCATGATCACCATAAATTATTAGATTATTTGATTAGGTCAGGTACCCTATCAACTATTTTGTTTCACATAAACAGTTCATTACAAAATAATACTTAACTGATAACAATTTTGACAGTGAATTGAGCACAATCAATCTCAACTTGATTATTCGACTAATTTGAGAGGCATGAGGTTAAATTATTATTGATGAGAGATGTTCTAGTCTTTCTTCGTTTTAAATAAACAAACATCGGGTGAATTTACTGTTATTGTTATATTGTATCAACTTACAGTTTCATCGTCCATATATCACGGGAACAAGATAATCCTGTCAAGATATTTTCCTTTTCAACATCATCCGTTTCATTAACACTGTACTGACTTCTGAGGAATTTCCATTCCGCTTGCCCACCAAACCGGATAGCTGTACAGTAAACGGCTGATTTCAAACCAGGCGGTATGCTATGGAATGTGTATTCAGAGTTAACAGGGGATAGAATAAACAATATAATCAAACTAAAGAAGACAAATTTTAAATCAGTTTGGTTAACTATCCCACCTCATGATAAGAACCGGATGTTAATTATGGTTTCATCCTTGTATAGTAATAATTGTTTGGAAAATCCCTCGTAAATGATCAATTTACGACATTCCTACTTATTTAGACATTCCAACTAACTCTGTGATTATTATCCATTTTTCTCCTAGACTATCCATCACTGTTCTGACGTTGCCATATTGTCTGATGACACAATCCTCATTATTTGCCTAATTTTTTTGCTTCTCTTTGATGTTGTACTATGTCATCTGTAATGTGTTATTTTTCGACTGCCATTATGTTCGAGAGAGTCAAGGTGATTCTGAACTTGAAGTGTCTTCGAGAATTGTTTGTTGGGTGATTCTTCTAGACAGAATTTTTATCCCACCTTGTTAGGAATATTCTTCTTGATTCCCACGTACCTTATACAGTTGATTTTGACTAAATAATTCTGTTGTATGGTACTTCTTTCGTATCTGAGAACTGATTTCATCTGCATAACTGCCTAACGCGACTATTTAGGTAGTTTTGCATTTTGATATGTTATGATTGCATTTAATTGTACCGTAGATTTTATCAATAACAACTGTCTTTTTACTACTGTCCAGACATTTTTGTGACTGAGTAACATAAGGAACTTTTGGCGGCCCGGGCTACCGAAATTCCTTTCCACCAAAATGCTTAATTTCATCTGGATTTGCCGTTGTGTTTGATCGTTTAGATATATATCAAATAACCTATACATGAACTTGAGCGCTGCCTGAACTTGCTTCCAAGAAAATGCAATGCAATTCTTCAAGGATAAAGCATTTTGGTACTAAATACACTGAAAATTTTCGCACCATATGTTCGCATATTGTGTGAAATAAAGACATATTATTATTACTATTATTATTAAGTTCAGGTTAAATATACAGTAGAACACAAAGCATAGGTTTCCTGCTTTCAAACCAGAACACACCAGTTTTTGGTCGCCACTGCCTTTTCTCCAGTGTTTCTTCGAAGTTCACGTTGAAACTTGCCTTTAAACAGATTACGAAGTATTTTTTGAAGTATTTCACAACAATGTCTACGCCATTTAACATTAGATTTGCTTGATAGAGAGCTTACTGCATGCTTGAATCTCGATTCCCCTTAAAGAATTAAACTATAACTACAGCTAATGGATTATAGAGAGAAAATTTAGCACATTTCGGTGAGTATATCTATGAAGAATGCATATTTTGAGGTTGTAGTCGGGTCAAATATATTTGACATTAATAATTGAAGGCCAAGTATTGGTTTGGAGGGATTTGATTGATTGGTTACAGGATCTCATCATGAGCTGTCGTGAAATTGGCAGAAGTTGGAATTCGTCCACTGGCCATGGGATTGGGTGCCAGTGGCTGAATGCTCTACGAGCTAGCTTGCCTTGCAAGCAGAAGGACCTGGGTTTGAATTCCGGTACGTGCAGATTGATGAAGAGTCCCGAACTAGTACGAAACAACTGGCTGTACAGCACTCCCACCTGGTTTTCCAGTGGTTCTCTAACCGATGTCAGCTGATGATGAAATCCTGTAACCAATTGAAGGCCAAATCAGCACATTTCTTATGAACAGATCACCCATCAGCCACCTCATCATCAATCAATCAAGTTCGTCCAGATATTTCAATAATATGTGAGCGACAAGTTGAGGTTCGCAAAGAAAGGAGTTCGTATGAAATACTGTTGAAATATATTTCAACTTCATACTCCAATAATGTTTATTCTGCTGTGGTACACCGATGGGCCAAAGTATGTTTACGAGTAATATATACACATACATAACGAGAAATGGATTCACTAACACCATAATGTCCATCAGTCGTGAGCATTCTTCACTGGTATTCATTCATCCATCTATTTAGTTATCAAATTCATGTCGCATTAATGAGTTGCTTTACCGTTGGACTTATCTCAAGAGATCTTAAAGTGACTAAGTGGTCAGATTCGTTGGTTGATCAATAAAATGCGCCTCAGAATGGGAGGAATAAATGGGAGATAGACATCTGCATCGTTGGAATATTTTGACATTTAATTAGGCTAATTGATCCTCTTGATGAAATTATGTCAGCTATCCATCTTTTGTTTTGGAAAGTGTCATTGTATTCCCCACAAATCAGGGTAGGTAATGGAATGCTGTCCAAGACTAAATACATGGAACAATCTAGACAGCCTGTCTTAACCAAGACATCTCGAAAATGTTAGTTACTGTTATTCAGATCACTTCCACATCGATTCAACCAAATTTCTAGGCGACGACCACCTCATCATCATCATCAAAATAAAAATTCAGGTTTCTTGAATAACTCACGGATTTATCTCAGGCGCCGACATCCATATTGTGAATAATACTCGAGCATTGTGTAGACATAATTCATGCTCAACATGACAAGCAATTTGGCTCAAGGTTCCACGTAACAAACTGAAGATCAAGAACAACAAAACGAGGCAGGAAATAAAATGCGAAGAGTTTGAAGTCATTGATAATTGAATATAAAGCACATTGATGACAGACAATAAGTGACTACAAGTTTATTCCAGTGTCAGTATATGCTAAAACATGCTGCATCGCTAAAATCTTCATGAGTAATTGAAAATTATCGACTGTTAAACATTTTACTCCAAATCACTTTTATTTATTCCCACTGTTATAGCTCTACTTTAACTCCTTTCGCTCCCATCAATTATGTTACGTGGCTGTATTTAACAATTTAATTCCACTTTAGTCTCGGACTTACTAATGATTCTGTATTGAGCAGTTATCTTTAGAATCTCGACGTTTATTTAGTCACCTCTAAATTTTAGTTATACTTCTTTCAGATCAAAATATTTACAGCGAACAGTTGTGGTTTCAATAAATTCTTCTGCAGGCTCTGCAATTAAAAATCCATTAATTTAAGCATACAATAGCCAGCCAGTAAAGGCAAATTAGAATCATATCAGAAAGTGCGTTGTGGAACAAGTGTAAGATGGGATGGAACAACAGTCAGATAGTTTTTCCATATGCATGGTCAATGAGAACATGGGAAAAAATCAGATGAAGTAATTTAATTTAATGATGTGTGTATATATAAATATAGTCAACAGAAAATACAGGTTTCGAGAGTGTGTGTAATCAGGGTGTGTGAGACAATATGAAAATAAACCAACGAATGGGGCGGTCTGGACATAAGTTCAAGGTTGAAAATAACAACAATAAGAATGATTGTCAAATAATAACAATAAATATATTGAATTGGAATGAGCAGGATTTTGTGAATACGATAGCAAGTTAGAAAAGCACTACCTCAACCTAAGGTAATAAAATCATAAGAAAGGTCATGAGTACATATATAGCCTTTACTGGCTATTGTATGCTTAAATTAATGGATTTATAATTGTAGAGCCTGAAGAAGAATTTATTGAAAACAATTGTTCGCTCTAAATATTTGATCCGAATAAATTATGGGAATATTCAATTTACTGATACGTCTTTGGAAATTTTTCTTTTGTTACTCTGAGAGCGTCTAAGGTGTATTCGTTTTTTTGAAACTTGAGAATGATTTCGCTCCAACGAGTAATTTGTCTCTGAAGGCTTCTTCTTTATATTGAACTGTTTCGGTGAACTACCAGGAGGGGAAAACTCAAAACATGAAACTCAAAACTACGTGAGTGAGTATATTTATTGGTTACTTTGTGTAAATCGATTGTATTTTGAAAAGTATAAGTAGTATTTGTGAGATAGTGAAAGCTTAACGCAGAAAGCTTTTCCATTAAAAAGGAAAGTAGTAGTTTCTTATATAGAAAACGAGATACTCTTCCGCTTTATAGAGAAATATGAGTGTGGTGAGAGCTGTCTGCTAGCCAAAATTGGTAGACTGCAATTTACGTCAATGTTTACGTCCTAATTCGGGGTCATAGGAAGAAAACGAGAACAAAGGCTGACTCAACAACTAATCAGAGCAGACAGCGTGGGCGGGTACGATTCACAGATATATCACCGAATGTCTAGGAAATGGCGACACAAACGGAGATGACAGAATAACCTTCAGCAGGAAAACAACCAATCAGAAGACGTTACCTCTCTGTTAAATATAATGAATAATAATGCACATCAAAATCTATAAATATCTGTCGATTTTCTCAATAGACGATCTGTTCGGCTGGCCATTGTCTTCTGTCGTTACAGCAGTAGCTAGATGATATGCCATAGAGTCAGCTAACATTATCTAAATTTTGCATTTACGATGGGAAGTTGTTTACTTCAACATTCTGTACAACTTCACTGTTTGGTTTATGGAAGTGCCAGAGAAGATTTGTGGCTCACGTGGAGTACTTTGCCTTCTCTAAGCTAAGTGACTTAATTGCAAAGCTTGTGCTGAACATGTTGTCTTGAAAGACAACGATAGCTTCCTAATTAAATCACCCAGCTCAGGGAACACAACCTCATCCAAATGTATGGAAGCATTCGGAGATTAGAGGTGTTTGAAGATTTCTTAAGCCTGAATACATTTTCATCCATCAGTCTTGAAATTCCAGTGGTTATGCCACTGTATCTTAATTAAGAATTATGCATAAGTAGTGTGACCAGTGAAGGAATAAGAAAGCTACACAACTCACTGTTTCTCTTCATTTCGATCTTCTCTCACAGTTATCCAATCAATCTCTTCCACGGCTTCATTTACAAGGTGACGGACATATGCTTGGTAACCTCCGTAATTCTCATCCAAAAGAAGCATACGGTCAAGATGGAGAAGAACTCTTCCGGCAGTTGTCCAAGGCACATATTGCCTCTCTTGGCTTAAATATTTAGTCAAGTTCAGGAAAGTGGTGAATGATACGTTACCACGACTGGAAGAAAGCAGAAAAATATGAGAGATTTTCATTTGTACTCTGATGGGACACTGGATAGTAGTAACTATGTGCCATGTGTCTAGTCATTTGTTCAATGCAGACTGAATTTCGTTTGCTATTTCGTTTTCAAACTGTCACTGATCAACACAAACTATCTCAGCCTCAGACTTATAGACTCTTGTCATTCTGAATCATGGCACTCAGTATGTACTTCTCATAAACTCCAGTGGGGATCTCATAGAAACAAAAATATTTGTATCTCTATATTTTATCTTGAATATGTACAACAATTTCAAACTCTATTTCACCTTAACCATCCAAAGGTTGTTGATAGTTTTCGGAGCAATATGGTGTGTTTCAGAAATGCCTTCTTTTCCTTGAAACATTGAACAACAGATAACTGTTTAAATATTTGATATTTTACTATTGACATTAAGAAGGTCAAAATAATCAGGGCACAACGTTGGAGGAAAACATTTACACTGATTTTGAACAAAAATGCAGTCCTGCACTCACTGTGTGAGATATCATGCTAATGATGAGAGAAATATAAGCAGATTTAATGTAACAATGAACGGATTTCCACACACTGTACACTAAGATACACTTTGCAGTTCCTACTGAAACAACACAGTTGAAGCAGGAACGTCTTGGCTAATACTTCCCTTCTAAATGAACTTCGTCGAAGCTATGATTTCTTCCATTTAGAATGACTCATATAGGTGTAAATTTTGTAGAAATCATGTGCTGTGTAAACTCAATACTGTGTTATTATTAATGCTTTACCGTTACATCATTAGACCTGAGAATTCCGGTAAATAAATGCAAAACGAACTGCCTGTGGTCTACTTCAAATGCATCTGTCAACAGCTAAGATTATTTAAAATGCTAAATAGGTGCTTTTCTTGACCTCTATGAAATCGTCAAACAAATCGGGACAAATGAGGAAGATATCTGATGTATTTCATAAGACAATATAACAATATGTTGTCCTCTTTTGACAAAAACTCGCCTACCTGATAGTAGGATAGTGCAGAGAACGAATTCAAGGTGTATAGTTGGCCCAACTACTGCCCATCAATTAGTCATTCCTTGGGTATATTTTATTCTATGACTTTCGTGTAGTTAGTGATCACTTACTTCGCGAGATGGAATAAATCACCGATGATTTGTGGACGTGCAGAATCTGGAATATTCTGAAAATAGAAAATAATACCAAATGAATTAACAGAAATTTTGAATGGTCTTTGAATGTCATATTTGTGAGGATTCGAATTATTTCAAAGTTGATGTTTTTGTTTCACGAGGTAACACACATTAACTAAAGGAGAGCTGAAAACCAAGGAACTGCAAAGGATTCTCCGTACTATAATCGGATTCTTCAGGAATTCTCATCCACTGCCTCAGCATGAATTGAATACACAACAAGGACGTAATCAACTCAGCTTGTTTCTTTATTTTGAAATTAAATGAACACCTTTTGATAAACAAAGTGTTTTTGTAAATATGGCTTATACAATATGAACTAGCACTTTCCAAATCTTTTTGATAAACAGATTTTGGTATTCTGTTATAGATTAATTATGTCATTTTACAGCTGCACAGATCTACTCCATTGGGGAATTGTCCGTCACACTGTGTAGTTATTCTTTTCAGGAAACATTCTAAGAGGTAAAATCAATCGGTCAACATTTTTAACATTTTACATTCTCGTGCTTCATACCTTCTAATCATGAACACGTATTAAATCATGCGGGAATCTCTTCCTTAATGTCAACCTCTACCCTTTTTTATTTCGTTCTAATTTATGAGTTGTGGTTAAATTAGAGAATCTGGAAGAGGACTGATTTCTGTCGGGAAGAAATCTTTAAATTATTATTGATATAGCTGAAAGGATTGATGAAATCAAATGAACATTGTAATCGTAAAGGAAGGCGGCTGAGTTGGCGTCAATCCATAGACATTTACATATTCTTCCTTCAATTACCACGTTTGCATTTCTTTACAAGGCAGTAATAAAATTACAAGATATCGTGTATATCCAACATGTTACCTCGTACATATCTCAGTCAAACACCCACCTTCTCTCCATATAGTCCATTTCCTATCCTTTCCGTATTCTTAAGTGTCAACATAACGAATATTTCCTCAGGTGATGTAATTCACAAAGATGACACTTATAGAATGTTGTCAGCCATTTGTCTTCACTTTAATGTAGGTCACTAAACATATTCGTATCTAATCAGAATGTATAAGTGCTTATAAATGAACGGCTCAATAAAAGACGATTGTAACTTGAGCCTTTTCTGTTATGGTCACTGTTATTATGAATTAAGACTTTTAAACCAACTTACCTTGACATTCTTGAGTAATTCATCTGTCAGTAATTCGCAGTTATTATCAACGTAATGAACTCTATAATATCCAATCTGTCCAATATTTATTATGTACCAGTCATTTGGCATAACGTTGAGCTTCATCTTCAGAGTAGCTTTGAGATGAGAAAAATTAATGCGACATTATGTACTCCCCATACAACTTACAGTACACATAGAATGACTTAGTGAGAAATATTCGCGCCTGTCGAGTAATATTTCTATCTAACAGGTAGTGTACTCTATGCCACAATTAAAGGTCACGCAGTTTAGAACATACCGAAATTGAGATGCATTCAAAATGTAATGTTGAAGACAGGGTTCGAATGAATCACAAAATTGTTCGAACTGTTATTGTGGCTTACAAATATTCCAATTCGGATTGAGGTCACTTTTATCACTTGGACAAAGTCTTCGTCGTTCTGGGGATAGTTAACTGTAATTCTGTTTCATTAGGTATTAGGTTCAATATTATTGAACAACCACGTGGAGTAATTCATCGATAGGAATATGAATCTAAAGACAAGGAGATCCAAAGTGCCAAAAGGTTCAGCCTCATTACCTCAGTGAAACATCAGTGAAATTATAATCCAACGCTTAAGGAATGAGGTGAAAAGAGCCTTCAGTGCCACTGAAGTTCGCTGTCTACTCAAACCACCGCTTATGTTAGATCAGGAAGTTAAAAGTAAACTGGATAATTTTGCCTCTTCTATGTGTATCTATCATGTTGACGGCTCCAGTGGAGCCACTCTCACTGGGCACAAAGTTAGGCCTGCTTATCGTCGGATTTCTAAATACCATTCTGCGTGGTTAGGCAAGGACAAACAAGGTTCATTCATACCTTTATTATATCTCATCTCGTGGATGGATGCAGGTCAGAAATTGATGCTACAAAGTGATGTTCACGAAGTTTTCTAAACTTAATCCTGTCTCAAGAATTCGTCGGTTACATTTCGCTGAAGCTGAAGGAATCTACATTAAGCATCACTTGAGTGTCTGAAAGATGCTGGTACAGACTCTTTCCCTACCTTGGTCATCTGCGTTTTAACCATCTTTAATTTATTGTAGGCCATTTTATTAGTTTTATATGATATTGTCTTTAGTATTACAATTTCAATGCTTATTATAAATTACGCATCTCCCTTGAACTGTAATTCCATTGATCCTAACAAATCGATATTACTTAAAAACGCATCATTATTGTCAATGACGATTCTTCTAAAGTATCATATATATATATGTAATTATAGACACAAGTTCCTTCATGGTTGCAGATACACCTTGCTGACTGGTGAGTGCTAACTAGGACGAAACCTAGGTCAAAGGCTTCATGTGGTCGATTGCCTCAAAACATCTAATATCAACAATTCAAAGCTCTTTGTGGTGGCAAGCCACCTCGAATGTTGGCCACATTGCAAAATTAGCTGATAGAATTCAGTCTGCACCAAACAGAGTACTAGACACATCACACTAGCTACTAACTACTGTCCAATAAAGTGGAAGTTTCTCCGCTTCAACTTTCCTGTGTTCTCTAAATGTCTGAATGGGAATTCTAGCTCTAATAAAATTATGTGAATTAATTACCCAAGCTGTGTGTCGGTGGTGCAGTGGTAGAATGTTCGCCGACCACGCCTGATGTGGTCCAGCGTTCGATTCTCAGCCATAGATGCACTCCTTTACCTCGGTAAGCCAGTAATAAGGCTGGTAAAGAGATAAGGTTGGGCATGAGGCTAGCAACCCCCTCCCGTAAAAATAAACACCACTTCAAGCCTCCAGTTTGAAGGCGCCCTATGTCCCACTGGGAACGTTAATGGATAAAAAATTACCGAAGCCGCATATTGTCAAATTTATGGGTCACAAATGAAGGTATTGAAGTCAGGATCAGGAAAATATGACAGGTATTCACTACTCTAAAATCAGTATGAAGATTCGGACACACGTACAAATAATCACGCAGCACAAAAGACAGCATCTGGATTTTCAACACTGACGTCAGTTCAGTCCTCCTCCGTGGTCTGTTCATTGGCACGTCACCACAGGCATCTCCGACAGATCACTGCAGACTTTCATCAACACCTGCCTCCACTCTACAATGAAGATCAGATGGCTGGCCAGAAAAGATACGCAAAAACGACCTCTTGGGTGCGGGGATGGGACGGACCAACCAAGGACCTACTGTCCAACAAATATTCGGAGGGAAATTCAGGTGGATTGAACGTACACTGAAGAAGGATTCACAGACGTCACATACCAGGCCATGGAGTGAAATTCGAATACAAAGTGACGAATAGGTGGGTAGGTAGGTAGATAGATAGGTGATGGACTGTTTTACTGAACTTCTTACCATTACACGTATTCATATAGCATACAGTACTACTTACCGTTGTTCATCCATATGATTTCACTCGCTGTCCCATCCTTTGTCGTGTAGGTAATGGGGATTTTCCAAGTGAAACTAAATAATTAAATTTCAAATAAATGACAACAAATAATATTTCTTTTGTTCTACCAGATGTGAAAGCAAAATTCATTGTGAAATATGCTACACATTCTCTTTTATGGAGTGTGAAATTCAACTATGTGGCACTTCAGATGTTTATAAAAGAGTCATTTCGATTGGATTCCTTCATTTCCACATCCAAAGAAGTGACCGGATGTAAAGACAGATAAATGGATTCTATTCAGAACAAAATTTCAGTTCATGTTTCAAATTTGAAGCAATCAAGTCTAGCGTGTTAAAAATGCTTGCGAAGGTTGAAGTCAGAGGAGACTCTGGTGGAGGACTTTAGCGATTCTGACGTGCATATCGACTGTATAACGTGAGTATAGGGGCGAAAGACTAATCGAATCATCTAGTAGCTGGTTCCCTCCGAAGTTTCCCTCAGGATAGCCAGCATTCTGAGATACAAACAGTTTTATCCGGTAAAACGAATGATTGGAAAGAAAACATCCTCAACCTGTTCTCAAACTTTAAATAGGTGAGAAGCTTAACTCACTTAAATGGAGTTTGCATTGAACGTTAGTGCCAAGTGGGCCATTTTTGGTAAGCAGAATTGGCGCTGCGGGATGAACCAAACGTGCGGTTAAGGCGCTCAATGCGACGCTCATGAGATACCAAAAAAGGTGTTGGTTGGTCCAGACAGCAGAACGGTAGCCATGGAAGTTGGAAACTGCTAAGGAGTGTGCAACAACTCACCTGCTGAATCAACCAGCCCTGAAAATGGATGGCGCTCGAGCGTACCGTTAATGCAAGCTGTGCCTAAGCAGGGTAAGGACAAACTGACTTGTTCCAGGCATGGAGTGGCGGCGACGAGTAGGATGGTCACTGTAGCTAGCGGGAAGCCTCAGGCATAAGCCTAGGCGAAGCAACCGCAGGCGCAGATATTGCTGGTAATAGCAAGTATTCACATAAGAACATTGAAGGCCGAAATGGAGAAGGGTTCCATGGGAACAGCAGTTGGCCATGGGTCAGGCGGTCCTAAGTGATCCGGTAAATCGGAACAGAGATGGAGTGTCTGGCATTGTCCGCTTGCGGGCTTTGTTAGTACTTCTGCTAAATTTTACTGTTGCAGCCCAGCCCCCTGTAGCGAAAGGGAATCGGGTTAATATTCCCGACCTTGTCCACGGAGATTGGTGCAAGAATCAATTAGCATTCGTGGATCACCGAATCGGGTCCCAGTGGCTTAATGGTCTACAAGCTCGCCTTGTAACCAGGACTTCCGGAGTTCGAACCCTGACTGGTGCATATTGCTGATGGTTGACTATTGATAGATAAAACAAATTACTCATCTTGTGATAGATAACTGACAGGCATATATCTTGTAAGAATGGGTAGCTGACAAAGAACTAAAAAGTTGATGAACATAATTTTATATGAAGACGACCACCTATGAGAAATCGGCTTCATAGTAAACCAATAAATACGTAGTAGTCTGATTCACCTAACAGGAAGCGTAATTTCGGCTTATTTCTGTTACTACAGACGATTCAGTCAAGTAAATGAGATGCAATTGTATACCTTTAGATAAATTACTGGAAAGATTACGTCCATTTGTATATGATGTTCACTGCCCATCAGATTGCCTAATCTAATTATTGCTTCTTCCAGTCAGTCTGATCCATTTTGACGAGCATGTAAGAATTGCAACTAACATCACACTGCAATTCTGATAGGGAACATTTCAAGCTTCATATTTCTTCAAATGAATTATTCAAATGACCGGTAAATTTTATATTTAATAATTTGGCTTTAAAAGAAGTCTGAATGGCAAATATTTTTTGTCCAAACTGACAGTATCTGACATGTACGTCTTGTTCTCCATTCATTATAAGTGAGTACGATTATCGTAAGGATCTGTTCTTCTGTTATACAGTTATGCAACATGGACATGACAAAATGTATACTAGTGTAAATGTTTGACTGCAGGGTAGTAGGAGTATTTGTCACTCTTTTAAATAATCCCTCAGCAAAGTGTAAAGGTAATTCGCTGTTGCAATCAGTTTCTGGAAGGTGACGGAACCCTCGGTATCTTAGTAAAATTTAAGGATTCCCATTTACTGCGAACTAACCAAACTTCATTCTCACATGTCATTTAAGGAAGATTTATAAACACTGACAGTTTTGAAGTCACTTACACTAGTGGATGAAAGAATATTCCAGAAGTGCATGAACAGGACAATATACACATTTTCACAGCTTCGTTCCTCTCAAGTACAAAAGACATTTAGTAAAGACCCTCAGCCACAGGATTAGAACTATATGCTCAGAAGAGGTAACTGAAGATGAACTAAGGATTGCATATGATACCTTGATTGAATATAGCTATCCAGACAAACTCATCGGCAAAGACATAACCAAGAAAGCAGAAAAGGACTATTCTCCATCTGTAAATAAGAAGCCTGGATACAAATGACTGGAATTCAAGGGCGATCAACCTGGCGAAATAATTAAGAAGAAGTTAAGAGAATCAGTCCAAAGAACTTTTAATGCTGACAAATTACAAGGCTCATTTTCTACACGACCGGTGGTGATTCCTTGACTGAAAGATGAAGTACCTAGACTAGCCACTTCCAATTGTATCTACCAATTCAACTGCGCATCTGGTGGAGCGAGTTATATTGGCCGTTACTCCAGGAACTTGATTTTTCGTGATCGCCAGGAAACATCTACCAGTTTGGTCAAATAAAGGTGTAGTAAAAAACATCAACAGGTCGATATTAGATAACCTGGTCCAAACCGGCCACAGAGCAAGCATTGAAGAATCCTTCTCTGTCATCTACGGGGTGCCAAATAAATTGCCAAAAACATCGAAGTATCGCATACTCCAAACAGCAGAGGCTACAGATATTTGCATCAAACAACCTGTGCTTTGTGCTTAGAAGAAACAAGTCCAGCCACTACTACTCCCCTGGTCGGCCTTCAGTAAAGACTATTAATGCATGAATTTGTATTACTATAACTTTTCCTAATTTAACTGATATTCAGTGTATTGTTATGTTGATGCTATCAAACTGTAATCCATTGATATAATTATTGTTATTGATTCGATGCTCTTAAACATTTATGTTGTTCATAACACTAATTCATTTACTATTATGTATATATAACTGTAGAACCTGATGAAAAGGAGGCTATCGAAAGGAGTACACTTTGTTCAGTAACCATTCTTTTGAAAATGTTAATGGGCATTTTTATTTAAGTTGGAATATTTTGTTCTTAAGCAGCAAATTATTTAGGAATTTCAAATGATGCATCCCTTTATTACCTCATGAATTCTGGAAAGAGACTTCCTATATCCACCCTATAACTGACCAGAAATCGAGATAAAATGTTACATAAATTCCAACAAGACACCATCATCTATTTGAAGAGATAGAAGAAATCGATGAAAAATACTCCACTCACTTGTGTCCTGATGGCAAAATAGAATCATTAACAGGTTCATAGAAGTGAATCTGTTTGAAATGGAAGGTGCTGGAATCACTTCGGTTGACAATCAAAATTGGATAATTCGCTTGTTTCGTCCAAGTATCCATGATCGATTTGATATCAATGACTTTGTTTGCACTCTTGGCCGCCTAAAATTCCAAAACTAGATCCCATTAGATTTGAACTGTGAACGTTAATGTAATCATAAGCACCTGAAGCATCATAATATCTAAGAAAGTGTTTACTCTCAGCGTCTACACTGAAATTTCAACTTGTATATAAGTGAATTCCAAATAGTTCCTAGGGTAGCTTACCTCTTTCTGATATTAAAGTAGTATAACACCGATTAATATAAATAATCTCCGAATAATTGATATGCCAACATACACTTCAAATCTTTATTTAATTGCAATAGGACAGAAAATGCGAATAACTCTAAATTTAGTGAAATGAAACGCCGTTTGGAAGTGGTGTAAATCACTACAGTAACGTGTCACACATTCCTGGCATATTAATTCAAATATTTATGGATTACAAGGCATGACTATGTTACCACAATCTAGTTGTACTCTGAACATGAAAGGGAATATGATATCTAAACGTAATCCACTGATTTCCATTCTGGTGACTTACGACCTACTACCTTTCTGAAGACACTTTCACTAGCATAAAATACACCACGAACCATTAATTTTTCAAATACAAAAATATGTTCCACATCAGTTTGATGGTAACTGGCAGAGAAATTCATAGGACGTATTTCGTTCTATTTGGAACACTTCAGCTGAATGTGCGTGGTGCACGTGCATCGAATTGATGGGCTACAAATAGAATGAAATGCTCGTCCCCGATTCCACTGGTAGGCTGCACTAATTTAGTCATGATCGACTAAATCTCATGCGTCTATATTATCAGATTTATTGATAAATAGTTCATCCCTGATCTAGATCATGAAAGAGATCTCTCTCTAATGAAGCAAAACTTTGATCCAGGTATTCGTCTCAGTAGATTCTTATGTATGTGGATACAGTAATCTTGCATGAACTCCTTTGAATCGTATCGCAGGTGTATTAATCTGGTACTATAATGACGGTCAATTATAACGAACGAATCCATTAAATTATGAAAACAGTGACTTCTATCGTCCTTAGTAACTTCCTATAAGTTTCTCTGTATGAGTTACTTTCGCCTATATACCTCGTCGTTTTATGAAAAACTTCGACCGGAAAAGGCTGGATTCAGGAGGAACAAGTCAGGCATCGATCAAATCGCAGTACTAGGATTATCATTGAAAAGAGCTTGGAATGGCTGTCAGCTCTCTATCTCAACTCCATAGAATTTGAAAAGGCCTTCGACAGCGTCTATCGAGAGGTAATTTAGAAACTAATTCGCCAATGTGGCGTACCACCAACAATTATACACCTCATCCAACACTTGTACGACAATTCTGCATGCCAAGTAATCCACAACGGGAAACTGTCGGAATCCTTCGAATTGAAGACGGGAGTAAGACAAGGCTGGCTAGCTGCCTTCTATCTCCAATGATTTTCCTGATTGTGGTAGACTGGATAATGCGACAGACACACAGAGGACAACGAGGAGACAGGCATAAAGTGGATCCACACAAAAAATCTTGGAGGATTTCGACTTTGCCGATGATATAATGTCTGATTTCCCACAAACTGGAAGTTATGCAAGTGAAAAGCAACAAGTTATCAGAAGAAGCATCAAAGATAGGAGGGACTTCAGGTGAACATAGAGAAAACAGAGGTGATGAAGATTCCTGGCCAACAGCAACAGCTACAACAACAGACAACAATCAGCATAAATGAGAGAAATCTGAAAGAAGCAACCTCTTTTACCTACATACCTAACTGGAAAGCATCGTTTCAACTACAGGTGGACGGGAATAATGAGGATATCAAAGTGAGAATCCGGAAAGCGAGGCAAGCTTTCATTTCTCTCAAGTCTGTGCGGAGGTCAGTGGCACTCAGTATGAAAAATAAGACCTGGATTTTGAACTCCAAAGTGAAGTCAATGCTACTATACGGATCAGAGACTTTGCTTCACGAAGGGCACTTTAAACAAACTACAGACCTTCATCAACAGCTGTATTCACTCAATACTAATCAAGATCAGATGGCCATCCAGAAAAGATCAGCAGCAGGGAGGGATATGAGCGAACCAACCCAGTCGGAACCACTGTGCAACAAATAAGCAAGAAGAACTGAAGGTGGACTGGCCATACTCTGAGAAAACCAACCATCAAGTGACATCACACGCCAGAACCGGAATAGGAAGCGGCGATTTTTGTAATCGGTGACAGAGTGACATGGAGGAGGATGTCGTGCGAAGAAGAGATGAAAGCATGTGGATAGACGTGGAGCCAGGTGGAATCGTTGGCAGAGAACCGAACGCAATGGAGACATGCGACTGAAGCCCTATGTTCCTCTATGAACTAAAGGAAGAAAATCACCATGACCTGTTAACAACCTGAAGGTCTGCTGTATCCTCAGAAATACAAAACACCTGCAAGATCTCTTTTATCAAAACTGAAGAAAGACGATGGAGAATTGATAAAAACACATTACTCACGAAAATACCAAAACATTTACTGTAAGTTAATAGTTATTTGAAAGCAGAGACTTACACGGTCCAACGCCTTCCATAGATCTTCTTCATCCGTATTTTTATATTTGTTTTCTTGTAAGTAGATCTTGTGGAAATACAGAAAAGTGACACTGTGAATATTGGGCGATCTGGGTTGTATCATGTGAATGCAGTTTTCTTAATGCTGCTTTTAACAACTGACTTCCACTCACGCTCATTTAGAATAGATGCCAAAAAAGGCACCTGTGAAAAGATGCTACTCACAACTAGTCACTACTAACTATTGGAAAATATCATATACTTGTTCAACAGTTCTCATACTTCCAGAGTTCCATATACGCCGCTTTCATACATCTCTCCCTGAAAAACCACATTCTTTTCAACTCAACTCAATTTAAATAAATCACCTGTTATGCAATGTTTATCAATAAAATATTTATAAATGACTGCCGTCAGAGAATTAATTAAAACAAGACAAGTGATTGATTGGAATCTGTAGGTCTGCCTAACAATTTTTACCTCCATGAATCAATCACTGTAAATAGGGAATAAAATTTAAGTTCTCTGAAGTTGAATAAGTGAAGGGAACTGTCCACTTTGTAAAGCGCGTTAGAAGATTTGTGATAATCTCGAAAAATAAGACGCCCAGCTGCTTTGTTTACAAACTACCGACGATGACAGAAAATTATACTTAGAGTGATGACTTTATATGAAAATGTAGAAAAATGAGTAGGACCATGGAAATGGATAAAGCTGACGAAGTTGTCGAGTTATGCTTTCATCCATTACTAGATTAGTACAAAACACTATGCAGAGTAAAAGATACACTTTGGCCAAAAATATAAAGCACCTCAAATACGTCCAATTTTTCAAACATATAAGAAATAAATGCTTTTGTGGAGGGAATATAGAAGCGCAACTCACCTTCAAGCCATTCAAGAAGACATCATGTCCAAGAAATGACTCCATCATCCGGATGATCGAAGCACCCTGTAAATTGTTAAAGCAAGAAGACTGTAATTCATGAAATATTGTGCACATAAACAGTATGTCTATAGCCTTGCTCGCTTATTTCAACACCACAGAATACATCAGTTCAACAAACCCTTACGCCATTATATAAACTGATTTTATTGTTATGAAAAGAAATATTACGTAATCAGATATCGAATATTCAAACACTCTGATTTCACTTTTGATTTATATCGCAGCATCTGTAGTGCAAAGGCACCTGAGAAGGCATTTGTGATACGCCACTGTGATGAAATAAACAATCCCACAAGCCTATAGTCAGTCTACGTTCGGTTGATGAAACTTAAGTGTTCCGGAAATTCCCCATATTCACGTTTTGTAAGTAATTTAAATCCGATACTCTCCCAATTCAAACAACAAAACAAACGAATCTTGTTAAGTTGATCAATTTATCCGATGTTGTCTCCCACCTTTCAGTCTTCTGGTCACCAGATATCAAATTAACAAACTCTTGTTTTCCTGCCGACAACCCCATCATGAGACAGAACTAAGTCGTATAGATTGCTACCATCAGCATGCATAAAATGCCACACACACACTGCATTGAAACACTTCCAGGCAAATGACTTCTTCTGCATACATCTTAGATAAAGTGTCACTCAGCTTCCATCAGTTCGCTTACCCCTCATGTTTTCTCCCGATATATCAGATGTATTCTCGTGGAAACTGTACTGCCTGAATATCAGTGCAGTCTATTTTTGAAACTTCTTGGTACTACACTACTTATAATTGAATAGTTCAAATTCTTCCCTTTGTTGAGAAATCGAATTTACAGCCACTCTGATATTTGTTCGATTGAGTCTGTAACTCGAAAATAGTAATTTCTTATCGAATGAAAATTTCCACCGAAATACATCCAGTCTTAAGTATGTTAACCAGATCCAACACAACTAAATCCGAACTAAATGTGAGGGTGAGATTGAAAATTATTAAAACTCGAACTCCGTATTGAAACTTTGAATTTTTGTCGCTTGATATGCAAATGGACATTGTTTATTTGACTTTACCGGTTGTATAGCTGAACGCGTAAACAGCAATGGCATTGTTAATATTGGTATCAATTTCTCTTCTGATAGAAACAGTTGATAGTAGAGAGGATTGCTGACCATTTACAACCATGCGATAATAACAGTTTCTCCGATTACATGTTATCCTCTGAATAACCGACTTTCAACTGGTCACAAAACATCAGATACAAACATTTACAACTTACTCAGATTGTACAATTACACTTTACCCCTATCTGTATTATAAAAAACACTGTCGCAAATAAATGCCACCCATAAGTACTGTCAAACTAACCTTACTGTATGTTATTGGATCAAAAATGTCCTCAATCTCGGCTGGATATTCAGCTGAATTAATAATAGGATGCGATTGTATGGAGGCATCTGAGATCATTGCTCTTTGCAAATCGGAAAAAATGAATCGTTCATCCTGTTTGTCATAAAAGAAATTGTATGAATTATAGTTTGGTGGAAATATCGAATGACAGTTTCAATCTAATTGACAAGACAAACAGCTAAATTTAATTTCAGATCAGTTTTCACCTCTCATTGATTGACCCCTGTTACAGACGCTTCAACGATGTCCAAGGATTGATGTGATGTGATTTTGGTTCTGGAGTCCAGAATGTATATTTCACCCTATTTGAGACTCATCAACTGGATGTACACCATCGATCAGTTGAAATGCAAGTAAATCCATCTGACGAGGTCCAAACAGCATAAAATGGCCAACCTGGATTCCCTCGCCAGTCAATATCAAACAAAATCACGTAGCTGGAAGTATTTTAAACTCTGATAAGAATACATCAACTTTTGCATGGAAGATGTTAATTGATACAAACTATGCCCACATATCATCGCTCATCGATTATTCTATCAAAAATTACCTCATATCACCGTCAAGTGGGTCTTTCACTGCTCACAGATACTTACAAAAATAACAAATTACAAAATAATTAGGATAAAGCAGTGAGTGACCTACCAATTTCCAATCTGGTTGAACAAAGTCTGTGCCAGTGTATTCAAGAAAACTTGCAAAACCTTCATTTAACCAGAGGTTGTTCCACCATTTCATCGTCACTAAGTTACCAAACCACTAAAATTTAAACAGAAAGTGTAGATTGCTATTGTTTAATACTCACCCACCTGAAAATAAATCTTTTTTATTTTTCACTACCTAATGTGAAAGATGGTCATAGTCACCTTCCTGCAGTGTATATATGTGGTGAGAGCTGTCTGCAAGCCAAAAATTGTAGACAACAATTGACGTCAATGTTCACGTCCCAAATAGGGGTAATGAGAGAAAACAAGAACGAAGTTTAACCTTGAGGAACTCAACAACCAATCACAGCACACTTAGCATTGGCTGGGTACGATTCACAGATATATCACCGGGAGGTCTAAGAAGCGGCAACAAAGAGATGACAGAATAACCTTCAGCAGGAAAACAACCAAACAGAAGATGTTGCTCCTCTGCTAACAATAACGCTAATAATAATGTACATAAAAATCTACAAATATCTGTTGATTTTCTCAATAGACGATCTTTTGACTGGCCCTTGTCTTCTGTCGTTACATATATAATACTAGTTAAATTAAACAGACGCTTGCAGTGAGGAAAGTTTTCTTTTCGATAACGTCATCAACTAGGCTGTAAACTCGTGTACTTTAAGTAACTGGGTGAGACAATTCCGGAACTATTTCCAATCAAGGGGCGAATGAATAAAATTTCAGATGGCAGTAAATTTCCACACTCCGATCTTGGTTTAGGTTCATTCACTATACTACTGGCTAATATATAAGTAGTTTCAAAACACCAAGAATAAACACTGGTGATTCGTCATCAAAACAGAAGTGATTAATTTGTTCAGATTAATCCATCCATCTCTGCTAACGAGCATCGGGTGACTAATGAGAATGACTACTTATTACTTAAATCAATCAGTAGTATATATCGTGTGGCATTACATCAATCGTTGCTTGAAACAAAAATCACTAGAGTAGACCACAGTTATACATACACAACAGAATACAATTTAATCAAATTGAAATTTTGTCATTACTTGATGAGCCAATTCGTGAGCAATAACAATTGTCACCCATTCCTTCGATGCAGCTGAACCAGTATACGGATTCCAAAATAGTGCACTTTCTCGAAATGTTATTAGACCCCAGTTTTCCATTGCGTTAGATTTAAAGTTAGGAATTGCAACCATATCTAAAGACAAATACAAAAGAAAAACAATTTTGAGTAACCTTCTCAGTCCACAATCTTTATATCATTATTCTGAAGCTACTTTTAGGGAATCACGCCGGCTAATTATTTTTGTAGTTATCCTGATCATAGGTGGTGTTGCAAATTTCCTAGAAGAATTTCCTAGGCGCCTAGAAGTTAGGCGCGGAGTTTGATTGATTTATGATACGACTTGCTGAAATAATCCTAGGATATTTGGAAAATCAAAAAATGATCATTCCGAAAGCGTTTCTATATTGGTGGCACATTAATATATGTGCAAAACTTGGCCACTGTGGTAGTATTAGATGTATCACACAGTCAGTGAAACAGTATTATGTACTGGATGACGAGGTTTCGAACACAATCTATTATTGTTCATAATCATTTCATCAATTATAATCACACGACTTCGAAAACTGAGTTTTATAGTTTTCTTTGCTCTCTCCTATTTGTAGTCGAAGGGGTAGTAGAATTTTCCAGATGTCCGCCTGGACAGGTGTTGAATCATTCCCATTACACGTATTCTACCTCAGTTGATTCGATAAACAAAGTTTCTGTCATCAATCTCTCCCTCCACCCAGCTCTTACATTAGATTTTAAAACTGTCATTTTATCCCACCCATCCTATTGTATGGTTATGTATAATTGCATGTAGTGAGTGGTATAGTTGAACTATTCTCGAGATTTCTTATCTCATTCGGGTCATCTAATCTAGTATTCGCTGCTAGGTTTTTTGTGTTTGCCTAGTCTGACTGCCACTGTTCTACTAGTTTGACCTATTTATTTGACCTGGCAATCATTGCAGGCAGGGTATTAGATAAACTAAATTGTTTTGTTCGAAAGGTTCCACAGGATCCCTTAACCGACAAAGCTTGTTTCTAATTGACTTTGTGGGTTTGAATGCCAGCCACGTTTATTCCTGCCTTGTTAAGAATTCTCCGTAAGATGGTTTTCAAGGTTCCTTCCTTGTATGGAATTTCTACTGATGATTTAGATTTCTTATGGTTGGTGTTGTCATTATCTTGTGCATGTTCGACATGCGTGTCGTCATTAATATTATTAATTATCACTATCACTACTATCATTATTTATTTCATTTTTACATTTCCCTACATACTTTCTAACTAATTTATCAAAACAATTATTAAGTTTCAAAGCTTCTCTTATGTGTATCACTTCCTGTCTTAGATTTTCTTTGGTACTACTTAGTTTTTGTGCTTTATTACTTAAACATTTCACCAATCCTATTTCTACTGACTTAGGATGGGTTGACTGGAACCAATAAATAATGATAGTAGTGATAGTGACAACACTTCCATACACACAGACACATCTACGTTATCTGAACAGTTAATTAGTAAATTGTAGGCAAATGTAATGATTTAATACAAAGTCAGGGATATACTTACCCATTTTTGGAAGTGGATAAGGCACTCCAAAGTAATTTTCAAAGTATGTAAGAATTCTTCTACCAATATCCAAAGCATACCTGGCTGATTCAATTTTCTCTGGTCTTGTCCAGACAGTAAACTGGTTAAATAATGCAAAAGATAATGAACAGTGCTCTGTATATCACCCAACTTGAGATGTATTGCAAAAACACATTCAGAAAGTTTTATGAAGAAAAATCTTGAAGCCTGAAATCATTCGAGATACCTTCAATGTACTTACAAAGTTCACATCTACATTGTAACAAATGAACATGAGTAGAATGGCATTATTCTGAGTATAATCGCAATTTATTTGGCCAGCTGTATATTCAAGGGATATAACTATTTGTGTCAAGTGATCCACAAGGGAAAACTCAGTGAGGCGTTCGAAGTGCATACAGGAGTAAGACAAGGCCGCTTGTCTATTATCACCGATGATATTCTTAATTGTGGTGGACTGGATTATGCGTCAAACTGTTGAGAGCGAGGAGTCAGGAATACTCTGGACGACCGATAAGAAGACTCTAGAAGATATGGATTTCGCAAATGATATGTGTCTAAAGTCACACAAACTTCAAGATTTAGAGGTAAACGAAAACCAACAAACTGGTTAGAAAAGCTGGCAGGCAGCGAATACAAGACTGCAGGTGAACACAAAGAAGACGGAGGTGATGAAGATAACCAACGAAAATCCACAACAACCAGCACCAATCACCATCAACGGGAGAAATTTAACAGATGTTGCCTCTTTCACTTATCTGGTCAGGAAGCATCGTTCCAACTACAGGCCAGTGGAACGAACGAAGTTGTCAAAGTCAGAATCGAAAAGGCAAGATACGCCTTCATCAAACTGAAACCAGTTTTGAAATCTTCTGCACTGCATTCAGCATAAGGAACAAGCTTTGCATTTTCAACACCAGTGTGAAGTCGGTTCTTCTATACGGGTCAGAAACTTGCACTGCGTGTCACAAACAGGATTTCCAACAGCCTGTTGCAGACTTTCATCAACAGCTGCCTTCACTGGACCCATACTGAATATCAAATGGTCAACCAGAAAGAACAGTAACAAGAAACTCTGGCTGGGGGGCAAACCAACCAAGAGCTGATCGCTTATCAAATATGTAGAAGGCAGTGGAGATGGATCGGACATACACTGAGGAGGCCGCCGAATGACATCGTATGCCAGCCAGTTCACTGCTCGAATTGAATCCAAGTGGGAAGCGACGAGTGGGTAGTCGTTGCGTGGGTGACATGGAGGAGATTGTGTGAGGAAGAGATGAGAGAGTTTGGTCAATCGCTGATCCAGCTGAAGAGGACGGCAGAAAACGGAACGAAGTGGAGATGTGTTGTTGAAGCCCTAAGTTCCACTTGGGTCGCAAGTGAATAATAATATAATAATAACCATTTGTGAGACAATCTCTTTACTTTGAGTCAGCTGATGAAAGTTGAAACTGTTACTTTGTAACATCACGCCTACTGGAATCTACAAAGACTGAAATAGTCTCATTACAATTAAATTCTAAGAAAATAAAGTAATGAAACAGTTGAATATTATAGAACAATGAAATGACCTCTCTATAAAGTAACTAAGATATTTACTGACAGACAGAAACCAGATGTGTGGATTTGTGATAAATTTGTCACTTTATCCTGACACATCCACTTTCCCTGAATACGTACTGAAGATTAAAAGTCCAGAAAGCACTGGAAAGAATGAACTCCAGGAACGAGTCAACCAAGAACCTATCGCCCAACAAATAATACAAAATAAGGCAGATGGATCGAACACACTCTGAGAAGACCCATGGGTGACATCACAAGCCAAACAGGCCATCTCTCAAGTGGAAGGTGAAGAGACATGACTCTGAAGGCGACATCGTCTTAAGTGCATGAGATATTGTAATCATTTAAAATCTACTCGGTACTTCTTTGGGGAAACATATACTTCCACTAGTATCTGTTGTTCTTGAAAGGAAAGTGATGAAGAAGATACCGATTCCTTAGTGTTTAACAACACAGTATTTAGCCTAACGTTACTTTTTGTATGTCTTCAGAAATCTGCATAAAAAGCACCTTTAGTCGATGAAATATCCTTCTGTTTTCGGAAATGTCAGACGCCTCTCACCTTACTGTAACATTGTCATTTCCGTTCACACGTAGTCATACGTTTACATAACGTGTTTGTTTAATTTTCGTTAACAAGTGAATACTATACAAACACAGAACTATAGTTATCCACCTGTATAACATAGGAGTTAAAAGTATTCACTACATACCTGCCCTTACCGGACACTCGCCATCTTGAAATATCCCCTAAGCATTTATATGATGAGATAAGAGAGAGAGAAAGTAACGTCATACAGAACCGACTGCATCTTTCACATCCACAACTATGCTTACTTCCCACACAAGGATAAGTAAATGCCTACTGATATAAGCACGAAATACTTTGAAAAAGCCAACTCATTTCTATACTACTCACATTTCTTCCCTTTGAGTCCACTCCACGAAGTCCATAAAATTGTGAAACCACAAATGCCAACAGATATGAAGACATTTTTACACTGGGTTGAAACTGATCTTGACGCCAGTCAGCGTTAAGGGCCACCGTGTTGTTAACAGGCATATTTGAAAGTGTATAAAAATCCTTGTGGCGTATGATGGTAACCTGTAAGAGGAACAATTAACACTTGTTGGTAGAATTTGAAGTACGTAACTATATAGTAAAAGTGCTTTTGACATGGAAATGTGTAACATACAAATGTTTTGTCATTCAAAATAACTGTAATCAAACAAAAATTTACTTCATGCGTTCCATTGAGATGTAGAGATATCGTGAGAAGACGCACTTTAATGCCTCTTGGGAGCAGAGCAGTTTCCCTAGCCCTGGACTGTGTTTCTCCACTCATGTACATCTATCAAGCATTTAAAACATTCAAAAGTACAGACCACTTATTGTTTTTAGAGTAAAAAAATATCAAATGACACTAGTCCATGAATGTTATTGTTATCCCGTGGATCTTAGTTACCCGAAATAATGAAACAGCAAACTGCCCAGCGACTGGCGCTATTCAATTAAGTAGTTACCTGGGATTCTAGTGGAAAGCCGTGACCAGTAGGGTATGCCAGGTTGGGGTGAAGACAAATACTCGCCAGCGATGACATTCGCTAGTGGTCACGCTATGGCCTACGAGCTAACTCATCTTGTAACCAAAAGTTCCTAGGATCGAACCCCGGTGAGTTCGTACTGCCCAAGGGTCTTAAACTAGGATAGAAGAGCTGTCCAGTACCTCCTGGTGGTTTTCCAATGGTCCTCTAACCGATGTCAGCTCATGATGAAATCCCATCACCAATCAATCAAATCCCTACAAACCAATACTTGAAACTTCTAATTATCTATAAATTTGACACCATGTTAATCTATCCAGGGATTATATTCATAAGTTTGAGTGTGTTCCTGCCCATAGATCAATGCTCACTCGCTGACACAACGTTTCTACTAAACTTTTGTATACGACAACCAAAATCCCTGTTGCATACTTAGTAACTCACTCGTTCGGCAATAAATGAAGGAACAAATGATTAGTCGATCAATATACGGTTCTTTGATTTGCTTAATAACCCCAGTATATTTTGTGACCGCCTGAAGTGAATCAAAGTGGTTTCCTTTGTGAAATTATGATCCACTCACTGGCTACACACCTATTCTAGATCCTCATACACAAATATAACTTATAAATGCTTTCAAAAATCCACAGATGAGACAACATTGCATTTCTCTTTACTCTCAATAAACTACCTCCAATTAAACAGAAAACAGAGAATGCACAAGAACCGCAATAGTATACCTACCTGAAATACGGCCTTAAATCCAGGTTCATCCCAACAAGGAAATACGCGTCTTGCATAAGTTGACTCAAATTGTGTGCTTGCTAAATACCTGAAATAAATAAATACGATGCAGCTGGAGTCAAGTGAAAGTGTATGCGAATCATTCGATGTTAATTATTCTACCTTATTTTGTATAAGAGAGGAGCAATAAAGTGAGCAGAATTCATGATAATTGCAAAATACCTCTGCATACACGTCGGTATGTTCACATGAAGATGTCAAGGCTTGAGCTTGTATTTTACTTTTTTGAGTAAATTAGTGTATAACCAGTTAGGAAAGGAGAGAGGGAGAGACATGAGCACATCACGGTAAACAAATCGTAATAAAATCGAAGGGATAAAGTTGTTTCGAAAATTCAAGGGCAATCTCAGGAACAATCTCAGTCATGTTCTGTTGAATCAAGATGTGTTCAAAATGCAAACAAGCTGAACATGTTGAATTTGAAGTAGGCTTTCAAAAAATTTCCTTGCAAAGGTGACAAAGATACTGTGGTTGAAAAACTCAGACTGCATGAAGAGGGATCACATACTGCTTATTTGTGGCATAAATCAGCCCTGCCTCATTGTGAAATGTTGACCGTGGGAAGAACAGGCTATTTGCATTAAATGCTGTGGATACATAACGGTAGAAGACAAGACACTTGACAAAGGAATGTCTAATTGGGATTTGGTATCGCTTTATAGCAAAATTATATACACCTTATCTTCAAATCACCATTGACACAGATCTTCGATGTTCTGCTACCTCTATCTTTCCTTCATATTGTGTTTCTTTGTGTTCCTTTCACGTCTCCCATGTTTCTCCACAGCACTGTATCATTTGCTTTCTCTGATGTCAAATCTATCTCCCTGCTATTTGATGTGTTCTATGCCGATGAACTTCTCTTCATATACTACTGATAAACTTTATCAGCAGCACACGACACACATATATGATCGCCAATATATCTTCAAGTTTATACAGACTGGATAATCTGCTTTTCCTGGAAATCTGTTATTAGACTGAACTTCACTTGCCTGTGGCATGGGTGTATCATTCCATCAAAATCAGTTAAGTTCTAAATTTAGATTATGATTTATTCAGACAGAAAGCCATGATAATCATTTTCACAGTTCTTCTGCTTTCTTTATATAAATGAGCAAATCTGCAGTGCCCAGTTTTTCAAACGATTCAGTAAAACAGGAGTTCCATTGACCCATCATGAATAGGTCATTCACTGTCTTCAAGAGTTGCTTTTTTATAACAACAATGAAAGCAATGGAAAATACCCTGCACTTATTAGTCATCACATATCTGATTGGTTGAATATGAAGAAATAGACCAATTTCAATGAACTTTACGTCACCGTCTGATTCAAGAAATTACTGACAGCTATAGGGTGTGTAGTGACAGATGTTTCAACCTAATTTACGGATTTTCATTAGCCTGCCTGATTACTCACTGTGTGATCTAGTGTGAGTATCAAGCCTTGCAGCATTACTATAAAACCGTTATTTTCATTTCCTCTAGTTTATTTATTTCAAATATTGCCATTTTACAGAGAAAGTAGAGAAAATTACCTACTTAAGATCTTATTAAACACTGAATCGTCCACCACATCGATTACTGCTTTTTGGTGTAGTTGTGTTCTATGAGGTGAGTACTGCACAAATGTTTCCTCCAAGCCTGGGACTCTTCATCATTATACACCCACCGGCATTCGAAACAAGCACCTCCCAGTTACAAGACGACCTCTTACACAATTTGCCCATTGAGACCAGCTCAGAGAACGTTACTACACCAAAGTATTAACATGGACCACAAATCTTCTCCAGTATATCTAGATTACTGCTTGACATTGGAAATACGAGCAGTAAGTTTCGAAATTAGTCAGCGACGTTCTTAAAATTAGTTTTCGTTTTGAAGGTTAGCAAATCTGAGAAGACATTGACAGTAATGACACTAAATGACAGTTACACCTCATTAGAAGTTTTGAAAAATAATTGGACTGATAAATTCCAGTGAGATGAAGCGGACGGTGATGGGAGTGAAAAATGATGTTAAAATTTTGAACAACATTTTCTAATTGATGAAGGGATCGATGAAATATGAAGTAAATGATGGGCACTTAATAGACTCAAATTAAACTACTCTGTGTTGAAAATCTTCATAGATTTTGCTGAACATCACAAAGTTTTCAATTAAAATATGATGCTGTTTCAAGCTGACGTTTACAGTAACATGAAGAGAACTGATTGGGAAACCAGTAGGAATGCTGTGGCAAACCCAGCAGTGTTCGAGTCGGTGGCCCGCATAAATTGCTGGGCTACGAGAATTTCCACTCACTGAGTTATTTAAAATCTGCTGCATTTCTTATTGTTTTAATCATGCAGTTATATTAAAGGATCGTTACACCAAATCACGGACATATTCAATTGGCTTTCAACAGAACATTGTGAAATTCTTGAGGGAAACGAAGACACAAATTATGCAGAATTGTCTCAGTCTTCATACGCAACAACACTACAGTGCATGAGATACATTGGATTACTACTTTAAGTGTAAATCCTGAACGAATACGAAATATTGTGGAACTAAATAAGTTGGAAATTTCCGTACTGTGTTCTCATATTGTATGAAACAAAGGTTTATTATGGTAATTAAGCCGTAAAGAGTTAAGAAGTTTTAGTCACACCTTCTTTGACCATATGTGAAAGACAAAGTAGAATCTATCAGTGCACTACTGACACTCTCCCACTCTGTACGCTATGATTTGTGCTTCATAAGGAAATACAACCCGAGTACTCTAGTGGCGTATAACTTCACATTATCCTATGAACGATAAGGTTTGCCTTGATATTCATCCAAAGGGGAACATTACTATGAGCCGAACTAAGTTAAAAAAAATTCAACGTAGGACTCGAATCAAAGTAATTCTGATGACTATCAAATGTCTCGAATAAAATTACTTACTTATAAGTTCCATTTTCTGCATACCGACTCAGATAAAATCCTACTGGTTCGTAGTTTAGTGAAGAATTAAATTGACCAAATATCAGTTTATAACTTGCATTGGGTTGTAATGCTTCTTTTAACTGTATGTGGTACCATTCAGCATCTTTATCGTAGGATATCGTCTGGATTGGAATTTCTGACTTCTTTACATCTTCTTTATCGTCCGGAAATATCTATACAAGAGGGGACAAGATGGGGGAGTCGTGAAAGTGAGTTACACTGAATTATTCATAGAAAATAGACCACTGTAAATGTTCGCCCACATTTTAATTACTTGATGTGAATGTTTGTCATTTAACATAGAGCCTAATTTGAGTTTAACCAGTACAAACTCAACAAAAACTTTTGTTCTTCATTAGAGGAACGAAAATCTGAGAATGAATGAAGTAGACCAAAATTAGAATTTCAACTGAGTACATTTCATTAATAATTCCAAAGCATAGAATTCCATGTATCCATCTTTGCATATTGTTTGCAAAAGTGTTGAATAAGTGGGGAACAGTAAACTGCACGAGGTTAATCTTTAGGGAAAGGCCGGTGTTTCTTTCAAAGGTTCAATCAAACATGAAGCCTTTGATCGAAACTTTGTACTTGTTAGCATACTGGGAAATATTGGAGATTCTAATCAGTGCAATTTTACACCCAATTCAAATGGTTCACTCCTGAACTGATTCATGACACTGTCGAAAGATTAACATTCAGATAAGTTCAGATTCAAATCCCTCAAATACGACTTAATCAAAGGGAATATAGTGGACGGAAATTCGTGGAAACTCCTGAAAATATACCAGTCCTTAATTCAACCTGCAAAAAGCTGAAACTGGAAGGTTTCTTTCTCCCTCCACTCAACTTGTTTGTCGTAGGATGATAAGTTTAAATTTTCTACGATATGAACACTGTAAGGCAGATTATTCCTTCGTTGAATTATTACTGCACTAACAGCTTCTCATAGACACAAAAATGTTAAACGGCTTTCCCTTATGAGTAGTAATATGAGTTTACAGTTCAAACTCAGAATATGTGTAATTCCAGTAATTTAAGTGATCTCATATCAATCTGATCAAACAAAAGTAATCCATAATTCATTGCATGGTTAGAAGAAGCTTTCAGGAATAAGTCAGCACTTTCTAATCAATAGGCTTCAGTGGATGGGACCGCCAAAACGTATTTACTGTGAATACTTGGATGACTGGGATTAATAAGTGACGTGTTATTGTCATCTGACGACTATTTAGTCCAACATGGACGACAACTTCATACATAACGAATGTTACTGTCATAGCTTCATTGAGAAACATAAACAATGAAAGGAGATATGACAGTACTTCTGCAGTGAAATCAACAGGGAACAACGAATCATCTTACAGTTCTACAAATCAAAAAAGAAACAAAAATAAACTTCCGCAGAAATCGAATCACTCACTTTGATTTGATCAGTACTGACATTAAGATTGGGATAAGCATGAATAAATAGATCTGCGGTTGCTGCTAAACACTGAATCTTTATAGTCACAGATCCATTGAAATAGAAGTCTTTAGTATCTGCATTTTCATGAATGTGAACTTGAAGCCGTAGATCATAGAAATGAGGGAATACAGTTTGTGGTAACCGTATATTCTTTGATGATTTGTTAACTGCTTCGTTTGTCGTAACCTCAGTGATATTATTCGGTGAGGTTTCTGTCCCCTTGAAAAATAAATCTGCATCATATCTGTGTTCAATCTCTAAAAAATATGACAAGAGTTCAATTTGAGTAAATATTTCGATTGTGTTAGAAATCAGTCACAGTACTGGTATCCTTTTGAGTAATTCCCAAGTATGGTAAGTTTCGAGAGAAGATCTCAAATAAATCTGAATACACGGCTTAGTCTAATCTGTGTGGGAAAATTATCTATGAAAATAGGGAGTAAACTAGCCTAAAATTCCAAATAACATATTTGAAGGATTTAGGTTCAATAGAGTAGAAACGTTGTAGGTGTACGCATATGCTGAGCTTTACTTGACGTCAAATTTAATACGTGAAGATGAGTATATGGTTAATCGATAAAATTCTTCTATCATCTTTGATTAGACACTAGTAACTAGTTTTGTGTGTCTAGTCCTTTGTTTCGTGCAGTCCCACAGGAATGAGGTCAATCGCTAGCCCGAATAGCTCAGTGGTAATGTCTCTGACTGCAAACGGCACTGGGCGATGTGGGTTCGAATCTCAGAAGGCACATGAGTTCCCTTAACGCAACTGCAGATACGCCTTGCTGACTGTTGAGTGCCAAGTAGCATGAAACCTAGGTCCAAGGCTTCCTGCCGACTGCCTCCAACCATCTAACCTCTTTCATTTATTTGTTTTTTAATGAAAGCACTTTTATCCCTATCTTGGAAGGTTATTTATAACCAAGAACTGACGAATACGGATAGGAAATATCTGCTGATAATGAATATGAAGACTTGACATGAAAATCTTAACCTCGACCTGTAAGACTGTCTTTAAAAGAAATGCATAGCCTGACTAGGCTTTTCTAAGGTAAATTAAGTAAGCATAGATAGATTAGTCGATCAAAGTTACTGTGGGGCAACTATATTAGCTTCTTGGACTGGTTCATAAACGATTCTGACATGACCATCTCCTTTCATAAGTAAACTCTTGTTTAATAACTGATAATTTGTAATGCAATCTAACCTTACTAGGAATCTCCTGACTGGAAAGGAGGTGGGCAGTTTACTAATCCAGTTTACCAGTTCATCGTCAAGTTGAAGAAAGAAGAAAGACAATCAACTGTGCTGTTAGTGAGCAGAAAAGAGTTCAATGTCACTAAATAACAAATTAAACACAGAATTACTAAAATAATCGATTTTTTCCAATTAGACATTACAGACATTAATGAATGAATGAATGCTAAATCATATCAACATATATGTGCAAAAATGAATAACACTTCACTAACCCATTGGTGTATTAAAGCCATAATAATGAACGCTGTGAATACCAGTCGGTGTCACTTGATTGTTACAGAGAAAGATGGAAACCACGTAGACTGTCGTTAACAATACTTTCAAAGACATTCTTTGACAATCTGAAAATATCGATCCTTCAGAAAAGCTACTCAAATGATTATTAGCTGGCAATGAAAACAATCCAAACAGTCAGGCTTTTATAGTCTTCTCAAATAAGGAAGTAGCATTATTGCGTAATAGTTCGTCTCATGTTTGATGATGATCAATAGTTCAAATAAGCGAACTGCATTCAAAGATATTTTCGCCTTGTATCATTTAGGTCATTAGTGCATGAATAAATTGGAGCACATTGTAACTGTGCGTGTCATTATAAACATAATTTAATCAATCACATGTCACAATATAGATTAAAATATTTACAATTTTTATATATGACAGTCAAGACTCGTGAACAACTTTCACAACCCTTTTATAATTAAAATTGATTCAATTTGTTTGTCTGTTTATATTCACATATAAGTTAAGAGACATAATTACACTTCGATGTAGTTGTGTCCACACAGAGAACACAAACCTCCTCCTCCATTATACATAATTACAAATGAAAACAAAGTTTCAGGTGTGGTTTTCATGGCTAGAAATGTATCATTGAGGTGATCTTTGTGTCTTACTGTTATGATTTGTTAACTTTATTTTCTTACATGCTGTCAAGTCTATTTTAACACAGGAAGCCAGAATTCTATGTTTACAAAAGAAGCTTTTCTAGTCATCTCATTCCATTTCATTTCGACACTGAAGTATATTTAAGAAAAACTGTGAGTGAAAAGAAAGTGATGTCGTAACAGTTTTTTGATTTGATGCTAGTAACTAGTGTGATGCGTCTAGTCCTCTCCTTGGTGCAGACTGAATTCTATCAGTCAAGTTGTAATGTGGCCACCATTCTGGGTAGCTCGCCATCACGGTGTACGTTGTTTGCGATGATATTAGATGGTTGAAGGCAGTCGGCAGGAAGCCTTGGACCTAGGTCTCGTGCTAGTTGGCACTCACCAGTCAGCAAGGCGTATCTGAAACTTCCTTGAAGGGAGTCATGTCCCTTCTGAGACTCGAACCCGCATCACCTAGTGCTGCAGTCAGAGACATTACCACTGAGCTATTCGGGCTCGCGATTGACCTCCTGTAGGACTGTAGTGGATATTTTGATTTGACACTAGTAACTAGTGTGATGCGTCTAGTCCTCTCTTTGGTGCAGACTGAATTCTATCAGTCAGGTTGTAATGTGGCCACCATTCTAGGTAGGTAATTTCTCCACAGTAATCTGACCACCTACCACCTACAGCTGAATGTATGTCCTGCTGTTTAGATATATACTCGGTTTTACCAGTCTTGCTTTCCCCTCACTTCATTGGTGACATAAAAGCTGTAATCCGACAAATCAACAGTATTTTCTCCATTATATCTCTCTCTCACAAATCTGTTCTTTAAAACAAGTACACATCAGTTCAGTGCTTTAGTTTTGCAATATAAAGAGAAAAACGAGGCAACTAGTTAGATAAATAAATCTGTGAACATGTGACATTGTTGACTCTTTTTCATAATGAACTCACGTTTTCATAATCTAGACTATTTTACGTGCATAATCATAAACAGTTTCACTGAATGACCTCTATCAAAAAGAGAAACTTTGTAGAATAAATCGTTAAGATGACAATTCTATGATTTTCATAACTGAACAGTCTGTAGACTGCGTGTTATTTGGCCATTTCGACCTCATTTTGTTAATTTCTAGTAAATTTTCAAGGTTTACATAGATTTGTGATATATATATATATATATAGCTTTCTTTTACTTTGGAGTTTCTGTAGCGATGTGACTAACTTTTCTGATGTAGGGTCACTAGCAACACACACCCAACCTTCCCTCTTTTCTTAGGTTTAGCACCCGCTAGAATACTAGCCAACTAGTTAACTGGGCAAAGTTGAGTCTATATAATAGGCTACACAAACATCAATTCCTATGAGATCATTTCTTATTCTACAGAAGAAGATTTAAGAAGAAATTTCATGGACGAATAAAGAGACTAATTTGATGGAATAAACTGTTGTCATAAAGAGCATCTCAAACAAACTACAGACCTTCATCAACAGCTAGCTGTCTTCGCTCAATACTCAGGATCAGATGGATGACCAGAAAAGATCAGCAACAGAGATCTCTAGCAATGAGCGAACCAACCCAGCAGGAACCGATTGTGAAACAAATAGGCAGGAAGAAATGGAGATGGATTGGTGGCCATACTCTGAGGAAACAAACCATCAAGTGACATCGCTAGACAAGCCATCACTCTGGTGGAACCCGAAAGGGGAGCGGCGAGTTGGTCGTCAGTGCAAGGGTGACTTGGATGAGATCATGTGAAGATGAGATGAAAGCATGTGGGCAGACTTGGAGCCAGGTGCAGACTGTAGCAGAGAACCAGACGCAATGGAGACGCACAGCTGAAACCCTATGTTCCTCTAGGAATTAAAGGAAACAATAATACTAATAATAATAAAAACTGCTGTCTCATCTGCACGTCTATCCTGTAAAATTTATATATCTAACAAAAAATAGTGACTAATCCTTCAAAATTGTTAAATATTACCCTTAAATTGAAGTCATCTCAATCATGCAACAAATATGACCTAAATTTTTCTTTGAGGAAGTGTGCAAAAAACAATATCATGAGTTGTTATGAGTCATAGCTAACGTGTATACATTTGAAAGTCACCAACTATTGCTCATACTTTAGTGTGGGTCTTCTATCCATTCTGGAAGTATTCGTCACAATAACAGTATAAAAAACAAAAACAAAATTACAAACTTAGACTTCAGAACAGATTGTCGTTTTAGCTTATAATTGCCTTTATAATTTCAGTAATTGCTGTTTTGTAGAGAAAAAAATTAGAGACGGACAATCCATTCGAATAAAATTAAATTTAATCATAAAATTATATACTACTGATTAATTGAGATGAGTAGTTACACAATACTCATATCTGACAGTAGTAATTACTAGCTGGATTGAGGTGATCGAAACACCAGACTGCTGTTTCGCTCGTTTTTGGTGGAGCTTATCAGCGGTGAACCTGGTTTGAAACAGTTCAAACCACTAGCTGATATCCTTGAACCAGTAAAAGGACATATGACAAAATATAGCCTCAGAGATACATTTGACTTCATCGACTCAGTGAAGGATGTCAACGTATTTGAAAGACAAATGATCTCACTAGATGTCGCCTCTCTATTCACAAGCATCTCCCTAACCGAAACAATATGCCTCATTTGTAATTACATCGAAACCAACAACCTAGAAGTTCTTCTCCCAATAAACTACCTGAAGGAACTTCTTCTCAGATGTACGTTCAATATCCAGTTCAAATTCAATGAAAAGTCCTATGTACAGAAAGATGGGTTAGCCATGGGGTCTCCTCTCGGTCCACTCCTAGCCGACTGCTTCATGGAGAGTCTCGAAAACAACATCCCCGATCCCTTGATAAGTCAACTGCACTTATGCAGGAGATAGGTAGATGATATGTTCATAATCTGTGATAAAAAAATCTGATTTAGATTCTCTCCTCAAAACCTTCAACGCAGCGCACCCATCAATAAGTGTCACCTTAGAACACGAATCGAACAACGCATTCGCATTCCTCGATGTACTACTCACGAGAAGACACGACTGTACGATCCAAAGATAGATATATCGCAAGCCAACATGGACGGGACAGTTTATCAACTTCTAGAGCTTCGTCCCACTGATTCAAAAGCGAAACCTGGTACGTATATTGTGTTCAAGGATTAGAAAAATCTGCTCGGAAGACATGGTAGAGAAAAAATTAAATTTATTACAAGAAAACCTATGTTATGATGCTAGATCTTTTGTCACGAGGTCACTGCTTAACTACTGACCAGTGCCCACTTAACTGGTAAAGCAGAACACGCGAGAATCAGCGGTAAAACCAGGTTCATTTATTATGACAAAAGTGACTGTATTTATACAGAAAATAAGGTAGACTGGAAATCAACCAATCCGGTTGAGAGTTGGAATTGTGCAAGCGTCCAATCAGAAGCAGGAACAATTGCATGTCAACGACTTGTTAATAACGCGATAATAACTTGACTGAGACATGATAATGACCTGATAATTGCATGTGTTTTGTCTCTTCCTAACACCTCCCCTTTTAAGATAGGGCTACCGGTAGCTTTTGTATCGCGGAATCACTTGTAGGTACTTTGGCGGTCTTGGTTGTCGTTGTGATCTCCTTGGCTGCTGAGACACTTTGCCTTTGTTTCGACTATTTTGGCCATGTGACGTTTTCGAATCCGTCGTATCTATCAATAGCTCAAATTGTACGTCGGTGGACTTAGAATAGTTCAACTGTTTAGAAACTAGTCTATTTCTTATTTGATTAGCATGCCTGACCCAAATAAGGTCTCCAACCAACAATAAGAAGTACTAATCACCACCAATGGGAGATATCTAAGCGAGGTCGTCTCCTTCACCTACATACACTGTGTTTTCTCAACAACTAGCAGCGGCACAGATGAGGATGACAAAACCAATTAGGACTGGTTCAAGAAAGCAAGATAGGCGTTCATCAAAACTGAGATCATTGTGGAGATCTACAGTACTCAGAACACAGAGAACACGATCTGAATTTTCTAACACTAATGTGGAACCAGTCAGTACTTCGATATAGTTCGGAGACTTCGAGGACGCGTCACCCAAAGCATTTTTCCAACAGACTAACTTCATCAACAGCTAGCTGCCTTCACCCGATATTGAAGATCAGATGGCCAGCCAGAGACAATAAACAACAAGGGAAAATGACACAGAAACAATGGAGATCTTATTGGCCTACAAATATGTATTAGGAAGAACTGAACGTACACCGAGAAGCATCACACGCCACACCCTCGAGCGGAACGCGAATGTATTTTATTTTTCTTAATGTTCTCTTGGTTCCCGGGTGAAACATACTTGCTTTGTTTTCTTCGGTCCTCTTTAGCTGGCCCCATGACTTCTTATAATCTCTGATCTCCACCTCACACGACCTCCTCCATGTCACCCTCGG